TTCCAGACCGGTTTCGACTGTCTAATGGCCCACGAGGTCTCTTCCAACTCTATGATTCTTGATTCTAGTGTTTTTCGACACTGGCAGTAAAATTTTGTTCATTTTCATTGTTCCTTCCTTTCTATTGAAATTGTCCATGTGCTTGTGGATATCAGTGGCTTCTCTGTGTAGTCGGACATAATTGTTGTTAGAGTGGTCCAGTATTGCTGTGTTTTCAAATAATATTCTGTGCCCAGCTTGGTTTATCATGTATTCTGAACTTGCTGATTTATCTGGCTGAAATAGACTGCAGTGCCTTTTATGTTCTTTGATTCATGTATGGGTGCTACTTTTGGTGGTGCTACTTTTGGTGGTTTCTATGTAGACCTGTCCACAGCTGCATGGTATATGGTAGAGTCTAACCACAGTGGTTAGAGAAGGGGTCCTCAAACTAAGGCCCGGGGGCTAGATACGGCCCTCAAGGTCATTTACTCGGCCCTCACTCAGGGTCAACCTAAGTCTGAAATGACTTGAAAGCACACAACAACAACAATCCTATCTCATCAGCCAAAAGCAGGTCCACACTTCCCATTGAAATACTAGTAAGTTTAAATTTGTTCAATTTTTTTTCATTTTAATTATTGTATTGTTTTAACTGGTTTTTGCACTACAAATAAGATATGTGCAGTGTGCATAGGAATTCATTCATATTTTTTTTCAAATTATAATCCAGCCCTCCAACCGTTTGAGGGACTGTGACCTGGCCCTCTGTTTAAAAAGTTTGAGGACCCCTGGGTTAGAGAATCCCTCTTACCCTTTACTGACCATAGAATTTGTCGAATTGTCTTGGTGGGTCTGTAGATTGTAGATTGTGTTTCTTTGTCAGTTTCCCTAGGCGGTCAGTGGTTCTCATGATGTAGGAGAAGAACACTTCCCCTCTAAGTGGCTCCTTTATTCCTGTGGGTTCAACAATACAATTAGACGTTACGTTTTTGGCCCATCTGGCTAATTTAGTTGGTGTTACTTACCATTTGTCTACAATCTTAAAGGTATTTTCTTTAAATAGGCTGACCTACATTTGAAAGGAACATAGATCGAGAAATCATATTATTCATTTTCTGACATTTTGAAATTCAGTTCCAGCTCCCAGTTGGTTCTGGAGACTTGCTCCATTCCTATTATGTTGGATTGTTGTTGTTATCATCGTTGTAGTGTGCTTTCGAGCTGTTTACCACTTATGACAGTCCTAAGGCAAACCTATCACAGGGTTTCTTAGCAAGATTTTTTCAGAGGGGATTTGCCTAGACATCTGTAAATCAGAGAGGCCTGATCCTTGTGTATATTGCTAGACTGATGGCACTTCTTTTCAAATATTGTTAATGATCTTATTGTTGATGTAGTCTGTTTATCTCCATATACAGGCAGTTCCAAACAAAATAGGTTTTGTAGGTTTGTGAAAATAAGTGAGAAAGCTTGGGTGGATTGGTGAGAAAGCTTGAGTGGAGGCACCTTTTCCCCATTATGACTCTTTCATGAGTTAATTTTCCTTTTGAGGGGTAGATTTCTACTACTTTCTGTTTTCTTACCCTCGTTCTTAACTGTGAGTTGTTTTTAAGTTGGGTGTTTGTAACTTGGGGATTAGAAAAAACTGGATTATCTATATACTGAAATAAAATAATGGTTCTCAACCTGTGGGTCCCCAGATGTTTTTGGCATACAACTCCCAGAAATCCCAGCTAGTTTACCAGCTGTTAGGATTTCTGGGAGTTGAAGACCAAAACATCTGGGGACCCACAGGTTGAGAACCACTGCAATAAAAGATGTGGGAGGGGGTGGGTGGAAGAGTGGCCTGGGGCAGGTACTGATTTCCATTTGTTCCTGATTTTAAATGATATTCTCAGCCAGGAATTTTGAATCTGGTCAATATTTAATTTGGTGTTTTCAATAAAAAAAAAGATGAAGTCCTCTGAGAAGTGATCTTCATTCATTTTATGTATAATTTTTAGATCCCATCCAACTAGTGGTTTGATTATAATATCTAAGGACAAGTTGATTGAATTGTTTTAAGTTATTGTGATATTAAGGTAGGCAAATACCAAAGCTATCCCTTATCAACTTGTTATTTTTTGTCAGTAAGTTTGCTGGTGAATTGGAGTGTTGAGACACATTGGGGTTTTTAGTTTTGCTTATTCACCCTGGGAAGGAGTCATCTGGATTTTGCAGGGGAAATCAGCATTAATTTTTTTGGCAGTTGATAGATAATTTCCGGACCTCTGACGTGCAGGTTGTTTCTAATTGAAGTTTAGATTAATAAACAGTGGTGTAACTCCACTCCCACTCAGTTGTTCCTGGCATCTAAAGAGATCTACAATTTCCTCTTCTGTCCTCCTTCTGGACACTACTGAGAACCTTTCTCTTTGTTTATCATGTTAGAAGCAACTTGAGAAACTGCAAATCACTTCTGGTCTACAGGGTCGTTTGCCAGGGGACATCTGGATGTGTTAACCATCCTGTGGGAGGCTTCTCTCATGTCTCCATATGGGAAGCTGGAGCTGCCAGACGGGAGCTCACCCTGTCTCACGGATTTGAACCACTGACCTTCAGTTCAGCCGGCACAAAAGTTGCACCACTGTAGCTCTTTTCTGTTTTGTAAAAAGATGTGATACTCAATTTTCTTTCTTGAAAATGTCACCATCCAGTCCTCTAGAGACCATGATAACCAATGTTTAATAGATATGTAGCTTCTGGATATTGTTTTTTTGCTAAAATCTTATTGTTGCTATGTGTCATTACCTTAAAGAGGAAGCCTGATCTGACTCAAACAGAAATGTCCACATTTTCTTTTTCGTGGCCATCATTTTCCAATTTACTGTACTCTCAGCTGCTTGTAATTCTAGTCTCTTTAATTGAGTTTCCGACTGTCAGCTTCCTCTACTGTCCAGAAGGTGGGGAAAGCATATCATTGGGTTTGTTTGCAGTCAGAAGGAAATAGATATGCAGTTAGCCCTCCATATCTTTGGGTCCTGCCTCTGTGGATTGAACCAACCACCATTCGAAAAAAATGTTTGTAGGAGAAAGAAATCCCAAAAACAAACGTTGGTTTTGCTGTGTGCCAAGCATTTTGCTGGTGTGTCAACTTGTCCTGTTGTGGCCTCCTGCCATTTCACAAATCCTCGGGTTCTTTTCAGCACTCGTTTGAGTTTGTTGTCATTTTTATATAAGGTAATTTACTTTGCTTTGGTACACCATTGTATATAATGGAACTTGAGCATCCACAGACTTTAGTATCCATGGGAGGAGAGAGGGGGTCCTGGAACTAAACTGCGGAGGATATTGAAACCCCACTGTAATCTATATTACCCAAATTATTCACAAGTCAGTACTATTAAAAGCAACTATACTCAGTTTATCAGCCATGTTGGTCATTATTTAAATACAAACTTGGGATAATATTATAATATTATTATTACAATCCAGTATTATATTTTGGCCTAAGTTGGGATTAAACTAGTCTATAGCCATGCTCCAAATAAGGGAGAACGAAGCTTGTTTGTGTCATGAAGAATCGCTAAAGATACATAATAAGTGCTGCATAGGGAAGACATGAGGGAAAAAATCCTAGACGATCTCTGCTGCACAGACTGTGTATTTTTGGAGGAAGAAAAGGTGGAATTTTGAAAAGGAAGGAAGAAAATATGATACAGTTTGACAGTTATCTTAGAAAAAATAATAGCAGATAGATGGCTATAAATAGAATGAAATAATACAAGTAGGATTGTCACTCAGCTCATGAAGTTTACATAGCTCATCTGAAGTAGGATTGTCACTCAGCTCATCACATTTACCTCTATTGTGTTTCCCATATTTCCCGAGAAATCATCAATTACAAGTTTGTTTGTTTGTTTCGTGTCAGGAGTGACTTGAGAAACTGCAAGTTGCTTCTGGTGTGAGAAAATTGGCCATCTGCAAGGACATTGCCCAGGGGACACCTGGATGTTTTGATGTTTTACCATCTTTGTGGGAGGCTTCTCTCACGTCCCCGCATGGGAAGCCGGAGTTGACAGGAGCTCAAAACGCTCTCCCCAGATTCGAACCTGCAACCTGTCAGTCTTCAGTCCTGCTGGCACAAGGGTTTAACCCATTGCGCTACCGGGGGTTCCTGTCAATTACAAGTGATGTGGCCTAACTCTGGCTTTTCCTTGTTTGGATTTGTCCAAGAGTTTTGTAGGAAGCCAACCTGTCTTTGAGCACCTGAGTGAAGATTCATATCTGTGATTCACTTTCTCTTAATTTCGATTTTCAGTTCCTGAGACCAGTTTTATAACTTAAGTGGAAAGCCTAGAAACAACGATACACTCCTCTTCTCTTGCTCCTGCCACTAGGATGGGCTGTAGACCTGCTCTTTTCCCCCAATAACACCACTATGCTATGAGATGCAGCCTCCATGAGTCCTTAGGCTAGCTGTGGCCATCTTGCCACCCTGGAACTAAAGGAGAGAGTGAGCCACCGCCATCAGAGAAGGAGCTGAAAGAACAGAGCAAGTGTAGAGCCTCACGGATTGAAAAAGGAATAGTGACAGCGGCAGTGGGTGAGATGGGAGGCAGACGGTGGGCTGGTCCATGAGGTCCCGAAGTGTCGGAAGCGACTGAACAAATAACAGCATGTCAAAGGGTGCCAAACAGGCCTCTTCCAAAGACTTATCTACCCAAACAGAAAAATCAGAGTATCTTGGAGATTTGCAGTAGTTTGGACAGCTGCATCAGCTCCATTTGACCTGATCCCTTGTCCACATGGATACCACCGGGCCAGTGTAAACATGGTCTTATTGATCTAAAGAAGTTGTACAAGGGAAAGTGCCATGTTATCTTTCAAAAGAACCCACAGCTGAGGATTAAATTCAGGAATCGCTTCTTCTCTTGTCAATTTTGATTACTCTAAAGGGAATTGTGTGTCTTGAAATATTGTGTCTTTGTCATTACACAGCTGGTCTGAAAACACTGATTTTTCTTTTATCTCTACAGGCACTGTATAGCTCCATCAAGAATGAAAAGCTGCAGTGGGCCATGTGAGTACCCTGCATGTATTTCTACTTCCCATTTTTTAGGTAGCTCCTGAATTCATCCTCTTTTTTTCAGTCTTATTTTTTTTAATTTGGCTTTCTTTTCATCATTGATGCTTTACCTTCTTATTTTCAAAGTGTCTCACAATAAAAAATGCATACATGTATTAAAGGTACCACTGGATCAGCTGAGTAGGAATGGCCCATATTGGTGCAACACGGACCTCTTTGGAGTCAGCGCTGTGTGGAAGGGCAAGCTTTGATCTGGAGGGCCAAGGTCTCTAGCATTTGATCTCTGTAGAGAAGCATGGCCTCCATGCACACTGTAGGTGATGCAGTCTGTGCCATCCCCCATCTTCCTCCCCCCCCCCCCCACACACACACACACACCCTGCTCCTGTCACCAGTGGCTTGATTAGTGGATTTGCTAGGATTAATCATCCTGGTTTGTAACCCTGGCAGAGAGCCAGAGTAGCCCAAGCTGTCGTCAGAAAGACAACTCAGCTTTGGAGGATGCATTTAAGTGACATCCTCTCGAAGTGGAAAATGCAGCACATCAGCAATGTGGAGTGGTCTCAAGTCATGCTTCACAAGGGAAAGTGCTGAGAGCGTGTTGTTGTGTCCCTTTTCCGATCACTCGAAATTTGCTTCCATCCAGGTGCCTACTTCCAGGACTTTTCCGAGGATCTACCATAATGAGACAGAACATGGTAGCAACCTCCGGCATAAGATGTTGGCTTTAGCAAAAGGCCTATTATTTGAATTATTCTGGATGTGTTTTTACTACCAGAAAAAGGAAACTGGGGGGTTTCTTCTCCAGATGCCAAAATAATTCAGTTGGCCGATTTTATTTAAGGAGGGTCCCCCTCCCTCTTCCAGTCGTCTGCTTTCTGTGTTTCTGCCCTCTGTGTAGTTCTTTAGAGCTCCCTTTGGGGCTGGCAAGTGGTGGAAGGATGGACAACTTCATACATGGAGCTGATTCCAAAATCCAACCAAAATAAAAGTCTTGGTGTTTTGGTTTTTAGACCCATTCCTGGGATTATTTGGGGCACTGGTTCAGAAAATTGCATTGGATAGACCACATCAACTCTAGTTTCTTAGACAAGGTTATCAGAATTTCTTATGGGAGAGAAGGTGAAAACTCATAAATGACATATGTTGGGCATCTGAAAAACTAGAACTGATGGGAAAATGGTGACATTTTTTGAATCAGCAGGTCAGATATACCCAGAAACAGGTGTAGCATTTGAGGCACTAAAACAGTGATTCCAAACCTTTTTTTGACCAGGGACTGTTTTGAAGAGAAACCACTCTCCAACATTAGTACCAAAAGGGTTACAGTTCAGTTTTTGATTAACGTTAGATTCGGTTGGTTACTTGGGGTACTGATTCAGAAAATTCCATCAGATAGACCACATCAGTTCTAGCTTCTGATACAGAACATATGCCATCCAGTAGTCACCATCTACTCACCTACAGAAAACCATATTTAATAAGTCTCGGCACTATAAGCAGGTTTTGTGAGACCAGTTATTCTCGTTATAGTGGTGTAGTAACTGTGATGCTGCAGACCATATTTTAGTTCTTGCGGACCATTGGTGGTCCATGGACCACAGGTTGGGAACCACTGCACTAAAATGTATGTTAGCAAGTGTTATGCTGGTAGGCCTCAAGGATTTCCATGCAGCAGAGCTTCCATTCTTCGCTGTTACTCGCTGTTCCCACCTCTGCTGCTTTTATAGTGAGTGTATTTCACCAAGGTGGAGTGCTGATCCAGACAATTAAGTTTAACAATAACTATATTGTAGATTGTAGATATGATAACGCTACATCTCTATGTGTCATTTTGCTTTCGTTTGAAAAGGGTGTCATTGGCAGCAATACACATAACTCCTTTTTCTTTTGTCCACCACCCTCAGTAGATGTATCTTAGATGATGAGCAAACAGTGTACAATACACTTCATATGTAAATAGGTTTCAAGTTTTTCTTACATATGCCGTGGGTTTTTAGTTTTTGTTGTAACACACGGAACAATTGTATGCACATAACCAGCCATCCAACCCTTTAAAAATTAAACAGATGGTCCCCATGACTCACGATGAGTAACATGCAAATAACCCAGTGTTTAGATCAGTTTTCAAAGTTCTTTTTTGAAAAAACAAAAAATGGAGGATGTGTATATATCGACTTGCTCCGATAACACTGTAAGATACTTACTATGCAGTGATGCCGTGTACTTTCTTAATTTGTACAGTTCTCACAAGTCATTTTCTCTTTGAAAATGTATTCAGACAAAAACATTCCTTTCTTCTGTTTTAACATCTTAGTAATTAAGCAGACCAGACCAGAAGTTGTGTGTGATAGTCTTATCAGTTTCACAGTATGGGACTAACAGAAGCAACTCATAATAGAATGCAGGAGAAAATAACTTTCATATTATCGAAGGCTTTCATGGCCGGGATCACTGGGTTGTTGTAGGTTTTTCGGGCTGTATGGCCATGTTCTAGAAGCATTCTCTCCTGGCATTTTGCCTGCATCTATGGCAGACATACTCAGACCACACAACCTCTGAGGATGCCTGCCATAGATGCAGGCAAAACGTCAGGAGAGAATACTTGTAGAACATGGCCATACAGCCCGAAAAACCTACAACAACCCAAAATAATTTTCTTCATTGGGGCTTTTTCTGTCTTCTTTGCCTTTGTTGTGTGTTATAGTTATCAAGCTAGTAGCATAAATGTAGTTTCCCCTATTACCCCATGGAAATAGCTTTTCTGAGTACACCTGTGTAGCTCTATACCTGAAACTGGGCGCTTACTCTGTCTTGTTGGTTGTCTTAAACACAGAGAATACACATTCTGTGGTGCTCATGGTTTCAAAAAGATTGTCTCCCAACTTACCTATCCCAGATGGAGATACTATGTATACTCAAGCATAATGCATCATATATTGCAATGCACACCTTAATTTTGAAGGTGCACATTAGGAAAAAAGATTTGATGTTGAATTCAATGCACCATTTCTCCTTGCCTGTCGGCCAGTCTGCCTGCTCCAAAACCGCTAAAGGGCAAAGGGACACCACATCCCTCCAAGGATGGCAAATGATACCAGTTGGGAGGCCATGCCCTCGTGAGGCCTGATAGAGGGGTGCAGGCAGGTTTACATGCGTGATTCTAATCCACTATCTAATGTAATGCACACCTCACTTTGGGCTCTGTAATTTACTTAACAAAGGTGTGCATTAGACTTGAGTGAATATGGTAATGGTTATCTTGGGTTCTATCAAAGCCACCCTTGGGTCCATGTCCTTAGGAGGACAGAACTTGGCAGCTCTGGTCTCACTAGCAATTCCATCTTTGGGTCTCCTGGTATGCAACTTTCAGGTTTCAAGAGAGTGGTGTGGTTTAAAGATGTAAATCCCTAATGCTTATTCCCCCCCCCCCACCCCAGAGATGAAGAAGAACTGCGCAAGTCCCTTTCGGAATTGGCAGACCCCAACCCAAAGTCCATCAAACGCATCAGCAGCTGCAGCAATCCTTTCCTGGACTTCTCACAGGATCCCAGCATCGCCACGTACAAATATGGTATCCTGGTGCGCAAGAGCCATGCGGAGCCTGACTGCAAAAAAAGTATGTGGGGCTGTATGTATATCGGGAGCGGGGCAAGGGGAGACACTGATTTGAACTGTCGGTTTTTCCTGCTCTATGTATTGTCGAAGGCTTTCATGACCGGAATCACTGGGTTGTTGTAGGCTTTTCAGGCTGTATGGCCATGTTCTAGAAACATGACCATACAGTCCTAAAAACCTACAACAACCCACTTTCCTGCTCTTCTCTGTAGGATGGGATTACCTAATCTAAGGCAGTAACCAACAGGATAGTTTCGCCTGCAAGGAGGTGTTGAGATAATTGTTCAAAATTATCTCTCGACCAGAAACATGCTTCCATCTTAAGTAATTATGTTTCCTTGAGGCAGTCAGAGAGACCTTGAGGGGAAAAAAACATACTGAGAATTAAACCTACTGTATCACTTTTTTTAATAACGTAGCACCCTTGTTGTTTATATGTGAGCCAATTTTTCCAGCACCCACAATTGCGTAGTTCAGGCATCCTCAAACTGCGCCCTCCTGCTGTTTGGACCTCTAACTCCCAGAAGCCCTAGCCAGCTTGTTCAATGGTCAGGAATTCTGGGAGTTTATTTACAGTATTTATATTCCGCCCTTCTCACTCCGCAGGGGACTCAGGGCAGATTACAATGTACACATACATGGCAAACATTCGATGCCATAGACACACAACACATATAGACAAACAGTCAGAGGCTATTTAACATTCCAATTTTTTGGCCACCAGGGGAGTTGTCACTTTCACCGTCCATCTGCGACATTGATGAAGTACTTTCCACATTCCCCGCATGCTTTTGCTGGAGATTTTTTATGGCCTCGTAAATTTGTTAAATTAGCCTCCCCACACATAGGTGGTACCTAAATTTCCTACTTGACAGATGCAACTGTCTTTCGGGTTGCAAAGGTTGACAACAAGCTACACAGATGGACCAGAAGCTCACTCCGACCCAGCCTGGCTTCGAACTCATGACCTTTTGGTCAGTAGTGATCTTAATGCAGCTGACACCCAGCCAGCTGCACCACAGTCCCGGTTGGAGACCCAAACAGCTGAAGTGCTGCAGGTTGAGGATGATTGGCATAGGGGGCATGTCAGTAAAAGCCCGAAGATCTTCTGTTGCAGGAAAAAAATGTTGCAATTGCAGAAATGGTTGTTGACCACTGTAGAGATTATCAGCAACCTGGCTCACCCTAATGGACACCTATCTTCTCATGTGTCCTTAACCATCACAAAAACTCCCGACCACATTACCAACTCCTCTGCACTCACTGAGCCAATGTACAATTTGAATTATCCTCTGCATAGCACTTGTTCATTTAAGCAATCAGATCAGCACTTTCCCTCTTGGCCTTCAGAAAGAAAGTAAAGACATGATTATGGGGACCAAGCCTTTGGTCAGTAAAGTAATGCAGTGCTAGAAATGGATATAGAATATGTGCAATTACAACTGGAATGGCTCTGGAGTACGATTTTGGACTGTGTAGTTTTTAAATGTTGCTAGGATGTTTTAATTCTATGGTTTTAATGTAACTGTTTATTTTTAATTGATTGTTTGTTTTATATGGCATTGATTTGTTGCCTATCTATAAGGCCGCTCTGAGTCCCCTTTGGGGTGAGAAGGGCGGGATATAAATATGGTAAACAAATAAAGAAATAGCACTAACACACACACCCCTTTTCTTCCCTAATAGTTCAAAAATTGGCTACAAAGGACCATTTGATTTTTTTTAATTTGATGATTTATGGCCCTTAAAATCCACACAGCACAAATCTCAAAAAATGTAGGATGGGTTATCCAATTGTTGCTACTAATTCAGATTCAGTGAGAGCTGTGTTGACAAGCAGTTATCATTAAAAGCTTCATTTTTTGCTTAGCCAAGCCTTTCTGCAGCCACATACCCCTCATTGGTCCCTGCCCCAGTGAACGGGCACCATAGAAAGAAATGGTTCTCATATCTCTCTCTCTCTCTCTCTCTCTTTCTTTCTCACACCACTATTGCCTAATCCACACAGTTTTCTCTTCATACACTAGGGCAGTGGTTCTCTACCTGTGGGTCCCCAGGTGTTTTGGCCTACAACTCCCAGAAATCCTAGCCAGTTTACCAGCTGTTCTGGGAGTTGAAGGCCAAAACATCTGGGGACCCACAGGTTGAGAACCACTGAACTAGCGAATCCTAGCAAGCTGATGATCCAGAATGAGAACATATATAATGAGACAGGACCCAACACTGAGTAGGCAGCAAGAAGAAAGATCTTCATTTTGTTTTTGTCTGTATCAATTTCTGACTTGTAGCCCAAAAGAGTTACATAGAAAAGGGTTCTCTGTTTCTGGACCAAAGCATTCCACATTAGCATGATGCTTAGCCTTTTCTTACAGACTGTACTGTTGAAACTGATTTATTTTTTTAGCCCGAAAATGGAAAGTAGTGCATTCAGTACACATTTTCTCTGTAGTTCTGAGGAAAAGGGAGTTAGGTGTGTCCTCACGTCTTGTGTAGCTTTCTCCACATTAAACCTGTACCCATCTCCCATGTTTGCGATAGCACTAGACTGGGAAGTAGGAAGACAGCTCTTGAGATGGGTATAATGGTAGCAGAAATGGTCTGGTTGGGAACACAGAGCTGGACAACTTCCCAGATTCACAAATGATGAAAGCTGTATGAGTGTTCAGGGTGCACCATATCCTTTATCATCTGAAGGGTAAATAAAACTGACTCAGCGTGAAGTCACCAGCATAGATTTTGTTCTGGGAGATTAAAGCTTCTGCCCACTTTCTGCTTCTTTGTGCAGAGCCGCATGTCACTTGTAAGAATGCCTATGGCCAGCAGAGCTGTCATTGCAAAGGTCCTACATCGTAAATGCATTGAGTCCAATGCAATGTAAGAACACAAAAAGAGCTACACTCTGGTTCAGCCCTATCTATTTTAGCCTTTCGTTCCAAAAGAGTCTATCCAGCTGCTTCTGGGAAGCCAGCAAAAAGGAGCAATGGCACCATTCTGCCCATGTTCTGCGGCAACTAGTGTTGAGACATGCATTCTCTGATTTCGAGACAGTGTATGGACATCATTACATACTTTTGTGTTAGTGGGTACAGAAATTGCAAATAAAATCTATACAATGCCAAGTACAAGGACCAAGGAGCCAGCTTTCAAAAGTTGCACAGAATTGCTCGGGGACAATAGATGTCATTTCAGGTTCCTTGTTTTGGGACAAGCCTGTGCATCACCGCTTGCTGAGCTCCTTTATTTCTCACTGCAAGTGATTTCTAGTAAGATTGCAATGTTGTACCAGTTATGAGCGCACCATTTTCAAGAAGGGCACCAGGAAGGTTATATGGAGGGGGAAGGTTTCTGGTAAGCCCAGACGGATCAGCTACGCTCATCTGCCAGGTGACAGCCTTCTCCCTCTAATATTTATTCCCTCCATTGTAGGTTTTAAACTGTGCTTTCAACTTAACAACATTAATCATGGCTGGTGTTAGTGGTTGACACCATGATTGGGAACCACATTGATTGATCTCCAGTGAATGCAGTTACAGCATTCACTCCTTTGCCCTCGGAAGAAAACTCCCCCCTAATTTCAGTCTGTGAATGCCTCCCTGATCTGATTAGATGCTGCCTGTATATGTTGTATCTGCTGTTGAGTCCAATTTGCCTGCTGTGCCCTGCTTCCTCTGAAGCAGCAAGCACAGAGCTGCACCCGTACCCATGCCCTCGAAGGCAGGCAGCCATGACCAGACTGCAGCCCTCTCTGGGCTCCATTCGTCAGTTCAGGCACTACCTCCCACCACCACCTGTATGCAAAGTATATCTGTTAGTGGGTTGCTGTGAGTTTTCCGGGCTGTATGGCCATGTTCTAGAAGCATTCTCTCCTGACGTTTCACCCACATCTATGGCAGGCATCCTCAGAGATTGAGGGGTCTGTTGGAAACTAGGCAAGTGAGGTTTATATATCTGTTGAATGTCCAGGGTGGGAGAAAGAACTCTTGTCTGCTTGAGGCAAGTGTGAATGTTGCAATTGGCAGCATTGACACTACAAGGCCATTAAATGCTAATCAAGATGATCAATTGCAACATTCCTTTCTTGAGAGGTGTTAACTGGCCCTGATTGTTTCATGCCTGGAATTCCCCTGTCTTCTGAGTGTTGTTCTTTATTTACTCTCCTGACTTTAGTTTTTAAATACCGATAGCCAAATTTTGTTCATTTTCATGATTTCCTCCTTTCTGTTGAAATTGTCCACATGCTTGTGGATTTCAATGGCTTCTCTGTGTAGTCTGACTTGGTGGTTGTTGGAGTGCTCCAACATTTATGTGTTCTCAAATAACATGCTGTATCCAGGTTGGTTCATTACATGCCCTGTTATGGCTGGCTTCTCTGAATGAGTTAGTCTGTAGTGCCTTTCATGTGCCTTGATTCATGTTTGGGCAATGCTGCGTTTGGTGGTTCCTAGTTTCCAACAGGCCTCACAACCTCTGAGGATGCCTGCCATAGATGTGGGCGAAATGTCAAGAAAGAATATTTCTGGAACATGGCATACAAGCCAAAAAACTCAATGATTTGGGCAATGAAAGCCTTCAACAATATCTGTTAGCCCTGCTGCAGCCTTTACCTGATAGCAGCTATTTTACTGACTGTCTCTTTTGCTTTGACAGCCCCAAGAGGAAAGAGGGGTTGGAAGACTTTCCATGGAATCCTGAAGGGAATGATCCTCTATTTGCAAAAGGTACAACCTCCCCCCGCCCCAAAAGTGGGACGAAACCCCCCTTATTCCACGTAGTCTACCAAACTAAGAGCATCTGGAAAAATACATGTGCATGGAGTGTTACGTTTCTGGTATAACTTAGAGATCAATCCTGACTTAGTCAGACTTCGTGTAGACCATTTCAAGCCAGTGGCACTTAAAGTTATTAATGAGTAAGGAAAGTTCCTTGGTATCATCAGATCTACTCTTAAGTGTGGGTGCAATCCATCATTATCCTCATGAAACCAAACTCTTGACTAGGAAATGTGGGGCACTAAACAAAAAGGAGACAAGGTGCTGCAATGCTTTGGGCACAAGTCAATAGGAGGAATGGACATACGTAACAAGTCATTAAAAATGGAGCAGTGCTATCTCCTACTTCTCTCATTCTCATGTTCTGAGGCATTTCCGATTCTTTTAATCCAGAAACTCGCAGATGAATTAACTGTGTTATAATAATAATAATAATAATAATAATAATAATAATAATAATAATGATGATGATGATGGAAGTGTCCGACGTGTGAGCCAGTACAACAGCCAGTAGAGTGATCTTGTTTGCTGTGGACTCATCTTGTGTGTCTAATAATAATAATACTTTACTTATATACTTTATGATGGGTCTGCATGTAATTTTAACTAATTCATTCATTTTGTACAACGACACACTAGTATTTTCCCATGCTCATATAGAATCATTGAAATGTTTGAAATCATAGAATCATAGAGTTGGAAGAGACCTCATGGGCCATCCAGTCCAACCCCCTGCCAAGAAGCAGGGATATTGCATTCAAAGCACCCCTGACAGATGGCCATCCAGCCTCTGTTTAAAAGCTTCCAAAGAAGGAGCCTCCACCACACTCCGGGGCAGAGAGTTCCACTGCTGAACGGCTCTCACAGTCAGGAAGTTCTTCCTCATGTTCAGATGGAATCTCCTTTCTTGTAGTTTGAAGCCATTGTTCTGTCCTAGTCTCCAGGGCAGCAGAAAACAAGCTTGCTCCCTCCTCCCTATGACTTCCTCTCACATATTTATACATGGCTATCATATCTCCTCTCAGCCTTCTCTTCTTCAAGTTAAACATGCCCAGCTCTTTAAGCCGCTCTTCATAGGTCTGGTTCTCCAGACCCTTGATCATTTTAGTCGCCCTCCTCTGGACACATTCCAGCTTTGTCAAATATCTCTCTTGAGTTGTGGTGCCCAGAATTGGACACAATATTTCGTGGTGGCTCCATTCCCAACCCTCCTGCCCCCAAAATGGCGCCTGGCGCGGCAGCGCTCAGCACCCCCGGACAGAGCCCCAAGCCGCGAGCCATCCGCGCGCGCTAATCCTGGGTCCCAGCAGACTGATACGAACAAGTTTCCCATAAAGGTTTTTTTTTTTGGAATCCCGGGGAAGATGTGCGGAAATGGAGCTCCTCCCCTCTTGGTTCAGCTTCCAGCTTCCGCATTGCGGGGACATGGAAGGAGAAAGCCTCCCACAAGGAAAAAATGGTTAAAACAAGTCAAAAACATTCGGGCAATCCCCCCCTGGGCAACTTCCCTTTAACAGATTGGGGCCAATTATCTCACACCAGAAGCAACTTGCAGTTTCTTAAGTTGCCCCTGACACGACAAAAAAAACCTGACAGATGGCCATCCAGCCTCTGATTAAAAGTCTCCAAAGAAGGAGCTTCCGCCACACATGTTTTCTTTGCTTTTCACATTTCAGGACCTCTTCACAAACTGAGCTGCTTGTCTTGCCACTGCAAATTGGCATCTTTGCACAGGCATAAAGAAACCGCCTAACAGAATTTAAGCGTTAGGGAGCAACTACCACCTATATTTATTCCCGCAGCTATTGGCTCACATAGCCATGCCTGTATGATAGAAGCCACAGGGGAGCAAGGAATGGCAGGAACAAATTCTGTTGCAGTCTGTCACACCATAGAAATGATGCTGACCCCGGTCGCAGCTCGCCGAGGGAAAGAACAGGAACAGGAGGTGCCAAAGCTCCCAAGTGGCAGGTGGTGTGATGAGGAAACATGAGTAACACTCTGAGGGTGGCCTAGCAAAGCAGCCACTGAAGAAGCCACATTTGTATCAAGAGAGTTCCCTCCCTGGAAGACGAATAGCGCTGGAAACAAACCAGGGACAGATAACTGCCCACCCTTCCAATGACCAACCTGGTACAAATTGTCAGTATCTGGCAATCTGTAAACAGCCTGTCTTGGCAGAGAGCTGGAAAATAAATTATTGCACTCCTCTTCCCACATACCTTTTAATAGAAATCTTTCTAGCTTTGTAATGAGTCTTGTAGCATAAAATGGCAAGGGCAGGGAGATGAGGAATGCATAACACGCATGTTTCAGTAGAAATTAGCTGGACTTCCATAACCATGTGATTCGAAACATACAAGGGACGGAAGAAAGAGGAGTTTGCAGTTGTGGATGAGAAGTTCTTCTCACAGAATCTGAATTGCCTACCTATTTTCTGTTTGAATGTGAAATCATAAACTTAAAAAAATGATAAATATCTCTTCAAACACTACAATCGTAATATAATTTTCATGGAGTCAGTGTTACTTTCTGCAATATAATCTTTTCAGGCCATTTGGAGATCCTGGAATTTTATTTTTCTAGTCCAGAACTGTACATAGTCCCAGTCTCCATTCCTAGAAGTCTTCTTGTGTTATAGCAGTCTCAAAACCACAGCTGATATCCTGTTCAGCAGTTAAAACACTGAAAACCTGACTTGTGATATTGGAACTGCTGAGAATTCACATTTGTGGTCATGAATGATAAAATATAATCCTCAGAACTGCCTAGCTGCAGCCCAATTGAGGCATTTCTGAGACATCGGGAAATGATAAATGCAGTCACTCCAGTTCTTGAGGTGCCATAGGATGCAGTTGTGTGAGGACCCCCAGGGGATCGTCTAGCTCCTTCTTCTCAAGCCGGAAACAAGCTGAGGACATCCTTTCCTAATGCCCTGATTTCGGCACCCCAGAAATTGTTTAGTTAGGTAGCTGCCAGGCTGAAAAAGTAGGTTGCTGGGGAGGGGGGCATTTTCAGTCTGATGATGGAGCTCTGCAACTGTAGTTAGAATCATGATACAAGATCTCCGTCTAGGATTCTTCAAGACACCAGCCTAGGTGAGAGGTGAGGAAAGACTCCTGCCTCACATGCATAACATCTGCTCACGTTTCAGGAGGAATATAAGCCTGGTAAAGCCCTTTCAGAGGAAGACCTTAAGAATGCCATTAGTATCCATCACTCCTTGGCCACCCAAGCATCCGATTACAGCAAGAGACCAAACGTATTCTACCTCAGGACAGCTGACTGGAGAGTCTTCCTATTCCAGGCTCCGTAAGTATTGAGGCTTTGCACCTATATGGAATTGCAAGATTTGGAGAATGTTTTACGGCTTGATTGGCTATCCCATTTTAGATCATTCCTTACATATTTCTGGGCTCTTGTTGCCATATTGAACCATTCTTTCAGGACGTTTGGATTTGTCTCTTAGCCCATTCTGTATTGCACCACCTGTCCTCAGCAGAAATGGTTTTGTGCTTGTTTCACCCTCACCCACAGCTGACTTAACTTAAAATGCCCCTGCATCCTTTGTAAGAATCACTGTATATACTCATACATGTCTATAAATTTTAGTCAGACTATTGATTTAAAAAAGCCTGGGTCGATTTAGCCACGGGTCAATGTAAGTATAGTCCCCAAGTTACAAACATTCAATTTACATCCGGGTGTGAAACAACAGGAAGTGAGAGAAATCTACCCCTCGGAAAGGAAGTTCATTCCTGGAAGAGTTATCATGGGAAACGGTGTCTCCCCTGAAGCTTTCTCACCAACCCATGTTTCCACAACAAGCCAAATTTTTCAAAATCCAATTATCACAAGGACAGAAATGCAGTGAAATCTTCTGAACAGGGACACAGGCAGCAAAACAACCACCACGGGTGTTAACCCTTCCCTGTGCTATCCAAAGGATGGATGGATATCTGCCATTACTTTATAAATGTACCTGTTCAGACTTATGTACAAATTCAGTTTAAGAACAAACCTACAGAACCTATTTTGTTCATAACGTGTGACTGCCTGTACCTTAATTCTTATTTTAAAATGGACACATCCCCTTCTCTGGGTAGAACAGCAAAAAGCAAAAGCTTAGCTTGTCCTGAAAAAACCAAAAAGAACCACCAACTCCCTCTGCTCTGTCCATCACAGCACTTCTGGGGGTGAAAATAGCTCTTTTCCTTATCCCTGAAGGGTCCTTAGCTTATTCCTGGCTCATATCAAACATCCTCGAGTCCAAAACAAATACATGAGTATATAAGTTACTTGGCCTTTGCCTATGCTTCTAACTTGCTTTATATTGAAGAACAGCCAGCAACTAGTAGGTTCTGTCAAGTTGCCCGTGGCACACACAGGTCCCTCCCTTCTCAAATATACTTGGGCAAAGGTTGGGCTCCAATAGCTCTGGCAGCCCTGTCCTATTCTCTTCCCAAAAACGTTCCTCAGCTTAGCAGGTGCAGTGGTCTCAGAAGAGAGATTAGTCAAGGACCACTGCACTCATACAATGGAATTGTGATGGTTCAGACTACTCTTTCCTTTGCTTTGTGTCAGATTGGTGATTAGCTGATAGCACCTGCCCTGGAAATCCCACAGTTCACTTAATGGGGATACAGATACATGCCAGAGAAGTCCTCCTCTTTGCATACTTTTTCCTTTATATAAAACCTGGCATCAAGAGATGTCTTAAAACATGCATTTACCTGGAGAATGGTGTGTCGTTCCTCCTGCTTCTTCCTTCAGTAACACAGAACAAATGCATTCCTGGATCACACGCATCAACGTGGTAGCAGCCATGTTCTCCGCACCCCCATTTCCAGCTGCTATTGGGTCCCAAAAGAAGTTCAGCCGCCCATTGTTGCCCAGCTCCATCACACGACTGTCTCAAGTAAGTGGAGCCCCTGTCCTGTGCAGTGCTATACTATGCTACATTTTGTATAGCATCATGAGATTTTGGAAGGAAAAGTAACATCACCGATAGGTTCAAAAGGAAAGGAAAACGTTATCTGGTGTCTTCAGGATGCAACAGTTTCTTTCTGCATAGGTTTTCATGGATTATAGATAGCTTCTTTACATGCAAGTGGCATGTAGTTCACAAAAGCTTAAAGCAGAGGTAAACAGGGTTGTTGTAGGTTTTTCAGGCTATATGGCCATATTCTAGAAGCACTCTCTCCTGACATTTCACATGCATCTATTGCAGACATCCTCAGAGGTTGTGCAGTCAGAGTTAAACTGTTTGAAAGTTGACCCCTTTTCATGTCTTTTTACAGTGAGATTAACCCAATTGTCCGATGGGACTGCAATTGAAAATGGGGAAGGGAGGTTATAGCACTTTTTGTCAGTGAGGAAGGGCGAAGGGGAAAAGATTAAACTGTCCCTGTAACTGTGCAGAAATTTATTCAGGAGGATTCAGTACAGTGAGAGAGACATGATGTAGTGGTTGAGCATTGGACTACAATTTTGGAGACCAGTTCAAATCCCCACTCGTCCATGGAAACAAACTCACTTGAGGGACCTTGACCAAGCCACATTCTCTGAGTCTCAGAGGAAAGTAAACACAAGCCTTCTGTAAACAAATCTTTCCCCCCAAAAACAGATATGTTTTTAGAATCATAAAGTTAGAAGAGACCACAAGAGCCATCCAATAAATTGGAAATGACTTGAAAGAACACAATAACAAATTCAGAGAGAACATAGTTTTAAAAAATGAGTCACACACAACTCAATGAAAAAAAAGCAAGTGATGCAGAAGAGCATGTCAGCAGCTGCCAGCCTCTCAGAAAAGTGGGTAAAAGCAGCCTAATATGGCAGGATATTGATGGATAACACAGCGTGTGATTATTTTTGGTATAGCGTAACATCTGTCCTTTCCTTTCCACAGGAGGAGCAAGTGAAGAACCATGAGACCAAATTCAAAACGATGGCAGCTGAACTGCTAGAGCACCGCTCTTCCCTACCTGAGAAGAAAGTGAAGGGCAAAGAGTATGAAGAACTGAAGCAGAAGGAGGAGTATCTGATATTTGAGGTCAGTGTGGTGGGAGCTACACCTATTTCCTTACAGAATTTGCCAAGCTGTACTAGAGATGCCGGGTAGAAAGTTTGCAGAAAGAAGGGCAATGAATTACAATTACAGGCAGCCCCCAAGCAAAAAACAACTCATAGTTAAGAATGAGTGTGAAACAACAGGAAGTGAGAGAAATCTACCCCAAGGAAGAAGGGAAATTCACTCCTCAAAGAGTTGTCATGGGGGAAAAGGTGTCTTCACTGAAGCTTTATCACCGATCTAAGCCAAATGTTTCAAGTTCCAATTATAACAGAGTCAGAAATTGAGGTGAAATCTTCTGAATAGGGGCACAGACATCAAAACCACCACCACAGGGGTGTTGATCTTTCCTTATGCTATCCAAAGCTTGTGTGTGTGTGTGTGTGTGTGTGTGTGTGTGTGTGTGTGTGTATGGCTGGCTGGCTGGCTGGCTGGCTGGCTGGCTGGAGTTGCACTTAAGAATTGTACATACATACAAATTCAACTTAACACATCTACAGAACCCATCTTGTTCATAACTTGGGGGACTGCCTGTAGTATATAAAAGCATGTCCTTCCAAGCATATATTTGAGGATGGGGAACAGTACACCTCTTTTTCTTTTTTTTCTACTAAAAATGTCCCATAAGGGACATCAAGCCATTATGCAATGTATTGCAGTGCAGTGGGACATGAGGGTATTTTAGCCTGGGAAGGTATTTTTTCAATCTGGAACTAAGCTGAGATACCGAAACATAAAAACTGTACGCTAGCAAACACAAGAGAAGCCTTCACTGGAAAAGGTGGCGATACAGCAGATGTGTAAGCAGTGTTGTCCTCCCCCTCTTATACACACATCACAAATGGACATACTTTTTTATAGCTTTGTCCCCCCCCATCCCCCCCCCGCAACAAACTATCATGGCTAGTTGCTATGATACACATTTTCTATAACACTGTACCCGTATCTACATGCCACTTTTCCTCCAACCCATACTTTGTTTGAGGCTTCCCCAGGATAGAGACCACTGAGACTTCACTCACTGAGTATCATTAAGTGGGAAAGGCTGAAGGTCCTCCAAATCACAATTTCTTGCTTTCTACAGAAATCACGCTACGGTGTCTATGCTACATTGATGCGGGCCAAGCTGAAGACTGGTTCCGAGGACCTGGCAGCATTGGAGGCTGCCCTGTTTGATGCCGCAAGTAGTGCCGAGGACAACCTCAAGAAATCCCAGTCCAGCCATTCTGTGGACCAGGAGCCAGCAGGCACAGGGCCTCGGATCAAGCGCAACAGTCGACAAGCTGCCGGCAGTCTGCAGAAATCCTAGAAGGGCCTGGTGCCTGCAAAGAGAGCAGATGCCCATCCCGTAAACTTGCATGACTTCATCCTCTGTGGACACAGTAGGAGGTCGGAGGGCAGCTTCCTGCGGACCAGATCCTGTGCCAGCTTCACCAGCCAGGAAGAGGAGCGGTGTCCGATCTTGCCCACAGTCCCTGTGTGTGCAGCTTTCCCTGGTCTCACAAGACTCTGGTTCCTGCATGCTTCAAGCAGTCAAAGACCACACGGGTAACAGAGCAACGGGGCTGCTCTCGAGATCACACAGGGGTATCACCACAGAAAGGACCTTTTCCCATTTCTTTCAAACATATGAGGGGGAGGGGTGTCTGGCTGCTCTACACTGCACCCTTTCCTTGCCAGTTTCTTACAGTTCTTGTGATACAACATTTTAAAATTTTTAGTACCTGATAAAAGTTGCATCACGCTGAGTTAGGGATAATCCTGCTGCTGCTGCTACTAAAATGACAGACACTTCCTACACTTTGTCAGCAGTTTTGCCTAGTTTGGGGGAGAGGGCCCCATTCCTCCTGCAGACACAATGCTTGCACTGGCTGCCTACAGGAGAACCAGCACCTCCTGCATGGATGCACACTTCCTTCACCACCAGCAACAGTCCTGGACTGGCTCAATTATTTTTCCACCAGCATGTGCGGGACCTAGCTTCACCCTGATACTCCTTCAGCACTTAACAGAATCGGCCAGGGTTTGCAATGCAGCCAGCATTAACAGGGTTTTACAAAGGGATAGTGGATGCCTCCAAGCTGGCAGCCTGCCAAAGCCATAGCAGGGTGGCCCATGAGCACACCTCCCTGTTGAATCCCTCTCCCCACTCCCCGTACAGATCACTGTGGATGATGGGCCTTGCTGGCCCCACTAGAGCCTGGCTTTCATAGGACTCTTGTGAATTGCACGGATCTGAATAGATGAGCCAAGTGGCATTGCTCTCTGAAGACCTAGCTCGAGAGAAAGTAGAGACATTATCCAGCCTGGGGATGACGGGTGTGTAGTTGTGGGTGGGGATGGCTTCCGAAACTGCCAGGAGCACTTCCACTCCCCAGACCTTTGCCTACCAAAAGAAAGAAGGAAAGCTGGTGCCCTTACAGCCCCTGTACAGACAACCTGCTCTCTTAACTTTGAATTTCAAAGGGCTCCAAGGCTACATCTCCAATACTTGATAACAACTGCATGTATGCAGTGGAAAAAGAAAGCCCTAGATCATGGCATAGAGGGAGCCAGAGAAATCAATGGAGTCTGCACACACGGAAGGCCTGAGGTTACCTCTATGGTATGAGTGGGAGGAGAATGTCCACCCACTAGTGGAAGGGGCTGGTTGTTTCCAGCACTGACTCTCTGAATGTGTCAATTTTTTATTCTACTCTTGAGTTGACTGTAAAAACAAACCCTAAAGAGCTTTGTACAGTTTCTTCCTTCATTTACTGCAGTAAAACCTATACAAGCACCTAGAGTGACTGGTTCTCCTTGAAATCCTTCCTCCACAGCTGAAAGGCTAAGAGTGATTTCCAGAGTTCGTAAGCCAAATTCAGTAGTGATTTCAGTTCCTGCACAACCAGCTCTCGAGCCAACTGGAGTATAGAAACACATACACCAATCTCGAGTAATTTTTCTCAGGGCCCTTCCACATAGCCATATAACTCAGAATATCAAGGCAGAAAATCTCACAATATCTGCTTTGAATTGGGTTATCTGAGCCCACACTGCTATATATTGCAGTTGAAAGCAGAAAATGTGGGATTTTATTCAGTGGTGTGGAAGGGCCCTAGATTGGAATGTGCATAGCACTTAGGTGAGATTAACTGCATTGGCTTTTTTAGTTTCTGAATAACACTGTTGACTCATGTTCAGTATATGGTCTACTAACACTTCTTAATACCTTTCACGGGCCCAGTTTTCAAGCCAGGTGTCACAATTCTGTATCCGTGGATTTCATGTTTATTGCCTAAGTGTAAGACAGTACATTTCTCCCTGTTGGAAATTCATTTTCTTAGTTTTGTCCCAGTTCTCTTTTACAATCACTTTGGATTCTATTCCTGTCCTCTGGGGTAGGTGCTATCCCCTCACCCGAAATTTGGTGTCATCTACAAATTCAATAAGCATGCCTCCCATTTCATTGTCCAAGCCATTGATAAAAATGTTGAGTAACACTGGGCTAAACTCTAGAACACGGGTCCTCAAACCAAGGCCCTTTTTTCTCCAGGCCTCACAACAGAACATCCAGAACACACAAATTTGAATCATTTATTCATCACAGAACTGAGCATTTTCTGAGTGAAGAAATTTCAGCTTTAAATTCCTGATAATAATCCAACTCAGATTCAGAACTGAAAATCATTATTCCCTCAGAATATGAGCAATGTATGCAAGGACTTGTCAACTTTCTTCCCCACTGAGGAATTTAATATCATTGGGATTGCTATTTACATAGCATGTTATTAATGACATATTTACACTCTGCAACTTTCTGAATAGGAAATGCAATTACAGGCTGCTATTTGGAACAAGGCATCAGCAATTCTACTTGCAAAATGTGGATACTGACATCATTAGCATTCTCAGAAGGTGCCTTTTGTCACTCGACAAGTGTTAAAACAGTTAAGGAAAAGGGCAAAACAACTGCCCTATCTATAAAATGGAAGGGATTAATCACACCCCAAATGGCCATCATATGAGTAAGCAATTGCATAGGGTGGTGTGGCAGTGGGGGCTTGGACCTGATGGCCTGCGAGAGCCCTTCCAACTCCTCAAGACCTACTTGCGATATGAACTTAAGGAATTCAACCTGCTAAGACAGCCTACCTTTGGTACAATTTTGGAGATTCTGCTCAGAAAAAAAGGCTTGATTCCATCAGTTCCCAAAGAAGAAGCACCAGGATGTAGAAGGCTTGCAAAGGCACTGTGTGGGTAAGATTTGCAGGAGCCTGGCAAAGGATGTTCTTCCAGCAGCTTGCACAGAAGTAGTTTCCATTGCCCGGCAAGTAACAACCATTGCAGAGGAAGACGGGAGAAAATAGGAGGAAGATTCCAGTCTTGACTTGAACAAGACTGAAAGCCGAGTGCTTTTCCCCCCACAATGGGCCAGGCCTGATGTAGCCAGCAGACAAGCTGAACTCTCTTTTCTAGACCAACCATTAAAATCAGCACTGTGCAGCACTCCCAGTCATTGCTGCTGGAACCTGGGACTGGGGAACACCTCCCCATGCAGTCAGTCAGGTTCTGGGCCTCCAAACATCAGTGCACTTGCTCCTCCTGGTTGTGAAGTGAGAGTGATGGCGGGTCCAATAAAGGTGCTGACGGCATCTTCCCAGATGGGACCATTGGCTTCTTTTCCACCGACTGACTCCTATAACCACTGTCTTCCTTCAGTTCTGAGGGAGACAGACAGCAATCATCAGCAAGGCCCACCAGTCAAACCCACCTCAGTCGCCTGGAAGCTCCCTCAGATAACACCTCTTTACCTGTACTTTGTACTTCAGGGAAAGACTCTGTTCTACGTAGTAACTTCACTCCCTCTGTCAGTCCCATTGTCTCAAGGGCTTCCAACAAGCCCTTAAGGCTGCCACCAGCAAGCTGAAGAGAGAGAAAGAGACCCTATGATCAGAAGGGAACCTCCAGAATGAGACGAGAGCACAGAAATAATCACGGGGGGAGGGTTCACATACCTCATAGCTGAGCAGGAGTCTCCGGCTGGGGGAAGGCGTGTCTCTGTAAGTCTCCACCAGACTGCAGAGACCCAACCTCTTGGCCAGTTCCACCCAGTCTGCTCCGTGGCAGTCCCGGTTCAGGAGATGCTCCAGGCACTGGAAAGTATCACTATCCAGAGACAGGATGTTCCCTGAGACATAGGAGAAAAGGCATGAGAAATATCACTAATCTGTAGTTAAGAAACAATGCCAGTTTCAGCTGCTGTGTGTCCAGAAGAAAAGTATACAAATTGGCATCCTGCACTCTCCATGAGCAGAAACAAATGGGTGCAAAACTATTCTATGCCCAACCCAAATCTTGCATCATACATACTGATCTTATTGGGCCCCTAACAGAATTGAAAAGGTCCCAGTGTGCCCCTAACAGCAAAACAGAAAAGTTCACAAACCTTGCCTAGAAAGAGGAGGAGCTGCAGTCTGCTCCCTTTCAGGTTCCTCCAGTGAAGCCAGAAGCAGTATTTCCCGCACCTGTAACAAAAGAAGGCTTGAACAAGCCCCTCAGCTAGAAGGAACCTTGCCTGCAATAACTTCATTTGACTCAATGTGATAATACAATCACATCACTTGACTCAATCTATACACAAAATAAAAGTGAAAATGTATATGTTGCGGAAGTGTCAATTTCACAGACAGCCTCCCACCTTCACAAACACCTATAATCCGCAGTGTTGAGGAGCCACCAAAGCGCTCCCTCCAAGGACACTGCAGGTTACAGCGGATTCCAAGAACATGTAGCCCAACGCCTGCCAATGTCCTCCCCAAACACCGTACTCCCTGCCACCCAAGTGAAAACTTTCATTCAGGAAGCATTTTATCCTGGATGTTCTGTTTTTCCTCCAAATTGGGCATTGCAGGGTTCTTTTCTCTCTCCATTAGTGTGGAATTTGCATGGCCCCACCCACTGCCTCTCACTTAACCCTTTTCTACGGCGCACAGCAAACAGAAAGTGATCACCAACTGAATAAGAGGATTGAAGGAACTGACCTTGATTTATAGGAGTTGTCGTTCACCTACATATAGAGAGCAGTGTGAACTCAACCAACAATAGATCTGGACCACACTTGGATGTTGGGATCTGCAGTACCTTCACTCATTCCCTGAGACCTGTTGCTATCTCTACAAATGACGGACCTGAACCAAACTTGTCACACAGACCCCTCCATGACCCACTTTACATCCTGGTGCTGTTTGGGGGAGGCTGGACCACAAATGATGGGATTTGCAGTATCTTCATACCAAGCATGGCACACAGAACCCTGGTAACCAACAGAACATACTGGAGGTGTTTGCGGGGGACCAACCCACCCATGTGGGAGTTGTAGTTCACCCAGCACCCAGAGCACTCTGAACCCCACAAATGATGGATCTGGACCAAAAACCCCATGACCAACAGAACATAATTGGAGGGCTTTGGGGAACGAATCCACCCGCATGAGAGTTGTAGTTCACTCTGCATCAGGAGCACTCTGAACACCATCAATAACAGATCTGGACCAAACTTGGTACACAGACCCAACATGCTCAACTGTGAATACAGACAGAGTTTGGGGGTGACTGCCCTGGGAATCTGGGAGTTGTAGTTCACCTGCATCCAGAGAGACTGTGACCTTCACCGACAATGGACCAGGACCAAACTTGGCACACAGAAGCCCCATGATGAACTGAACATACTGCAGGGGTTTGTGGGAATAGACCTTGATTTTGGGAGTTGGAGTTCACCTGCATCCAGACCATACTGAACCCAGTCAATGACGGATCTGGGCCACACTTGGCACACAGACCCAACATGGCCAGCTGTGCATACAGGCCTGGTTTAGGGATGATTGACCCACGATTCTGCGAATTGTAGTTCACCCACATTGTTGTGTATTTTCTAACATAAATTCATAAACAACAAAATCAAAGAATGACTTTTTCTAATAAATAGTATTACTTAATTAACTAAATGATATTACCTAACATCCCAAAACATGGGATTATTTTTCAAATAATCTGGGCACAACTGGGTACCCAAGCTAGCGTGATAATAAAATGTGGTGCCAACTGACCTCTTAAGGACTACTAGAAACTATCATAGAGGTAGATGGTGGCCAGAACTGTTGCAGAAGAATTTGTAATAAGGGCTATGCTGGATTAAAACAAAGGTCTTTATGCTCCACCATTCTGTTTATATTAAGGCCAATCGGGTGGCTAGGAGAAGCCCTCAAGTTTTAGATCTTAACATTATCACAGACATTCTCTAGAAGAAAATGATCCATACCACAACAAAACATGATCCCATTGCTACATCATTCCCACTTTGCCCACCGACCCCTTCCCATCCATGTTACCTACTTTCTGGCTAGTTGTCAAGTCAAATGGGATGTGACCTCGCCGCTGCCTTTTCCTGCATGGAGTTGGTTCTTCTTGCTCTGGGTGGCGGCCTACATCTCGCTCAATAAAGTGACTGGAAAATTCATCTTCCAGTTCCATGGCCCAATCCTCCTCTAACTCTGTATCACTGCTTGAATTAGAGGAGGTAGCCGTCATTGGTTCACCATTCTCACAATGAATGTCAGCCCCTGGAGACAGAGATGCAGAGTTAAAAACAAGTGTTTCTTTTGAGTAGAGACAAGACAAGATCAACAGTTTGCTTACTATCACAAGCAGTTCCAAGTATGCCTGACAGTAACAAAAACCTGAGGGAACGAAGGTGCAAAGTTGATCATTTTGTACACAAAACTTTGGTGTCTTTCGCTGCAATTGTCTCTTATTTGCCACCACTGTATAACCCACCTTCCTCATTCAAACTCTGGAATATTTACACAGTTTGCTTTCATTTTAAATACACACAACTTTTTTTTTCAACCGAACAGGCATAATGTAAATTCTTGAAAATTCTGGTTTGACTGCAATTTGTATGGAAAGATTTCCCAAGACTTCCTTGGGTATCCAGCACAAACTTCAAAACAAATCTCCAAACAAAATGGAATAGTTTCAGTGAAAACATTGTTTTCTGCTAGTCACAAGATCATGTAATCTGAATTTCAAAACTTTTTAGATTTTTTTTTGGGAAGCAAAGACTGATGCAAGAGGGGAAAACAATATGGAAAGTGAGTGCCTGTGGGGAAAATATCCAGGTTCATAACTGACCCTGCAGGAGTTAAAATAATGCAAAGTTTCTAATTCCAAACAGCGTTTCCTATTGTTTTTAATGAAAAGTCAGTACTTGTGTGAGAGACTGCTAACAAATGATGTAGGCTATATGAAGAAACAGCTGGAAAAACTACCTTTGAACATTTCTTGCCTGAGAAACCCCTATGAAATTCATTGGCTTATCACCAGGCAACTGGAAAGCACTTATTCACAAGAATATAAGGAAGTAAACATTACATCCTCTCTCCCATTCCTTTGGAGCTCTCCAAGAAGGAACCCTTGCATCAAAACTCAGAAACACTGGCACTTCACATTACCTGCTTTGATCAGCAACTTGGTAAGGATTGGAGAGCCCATTCCTGCTGCCAAGTGAAGAGGCGTATTCCCAGCAGAAGTCTGGGCATTCACATCAGCTCCCAACTAAAGAGAAAAGCCAAAAGGTAAATGGTAGTCAAGAGGCTCAAGACAAAAAACCCCTACCTGCAGATGACTAAAAAGCCTCCACATAGCGGTCAGGACACAAAATCCAAGAGACTGAAAAGCCAGGCTTCATTCTGACCAGAGAGAACAAGTTGCAAATCCATAACAGAAGAGAAACTGACCCAGATGCTGCCCAGTTTTACTCATCATCCAGTCAGTACGTATGCACACTTAAGTCCCATGCTTAAGGCTATCTCCTTGTGACTTTGTGCACCATTCAAAAACCTCCCATTCCAGGCAACTGTCAAGCCCTGAGAGTGGTTTCTGAAGCTTTAATGGAAGGTGCACAGAAGCAATCTGAGAGCACAGCTTCACTTTTTCCCCTCTCCAAGATGAGACGAGTAGCTTTTCCATGGTCTGAATCTGCTCCCCACTCCTTCTCCAATAAGTGAAAGCAGCAGGGACCACTCCCAAGGACTGACTGTAGACAGACAGGGGAGAACATAGAACGTCATGTAGCAGCTCAGCCATAAGGCTCAACTACATGTGTGACCACACTAAGGAATATTAGTAGCAGGAACTGCTAAAAAGGAGAATATTTTGGTATAACTTCCACCCAGTGATAGTAGACCCCCTGCCTCAACAGAATTTACATAAGTCTTGACTTAGCATTCAGTAATTAATTTCTTGGATCTACTCTAGCTGAGGCTAAAATAGGATTTAGGCCTCTGTCATGGGAAAATGGGTTGAAAATATAAATAAGCATCCACTGGAGAGTTAAATTCCAGGAGAATTAATCATTTTATTGGATATAGAAAAAGTATTTCTTCCCATTCCCCCTGCCAATCCCCACAACAGTCTCATCCTCACATACCTTCTTTATCAGGCAAGTGACCAGGTTCAGGTTCTCCATCTCCACAGCGAGGTGCAAGGGTGTCCGGCCACTCTGTCGCTCAGCTGCATTCACATCTGCTCCCTTCTCAACCAGCAGCTCAAGGCAGGTTAGCCTCTTGCATTTTACAGCAAGATGAACGGGGAAAAGCCCTAAAGGGACAAGTTTTGGCAATTACCCCTTCCATCCTGTACAGCGGAGTAGAGGACATGAAGTGCTCTCTAGGCACAGCAGTGTCCAGGGAAAATCAATTCTGCCTCAGCTTTAATCTCATTCTCTCCTCCCATCTCAAGATGTGCAGAGCGCCATGCACTTCTGCACCCAGCCTCACTCCAAGGGCCTGGGGATAAAAGGCTTCCTCATAATAATAATAATAATAATAATAATAATAATAATAATAATAATAATACTTTATTTATACCCCGCCACCATCTCCCCAAGAGACTCGGAGCAGCTTACATGAGGCCAAGCCCAACAATACATCAAAAACAACAAGCAGTAATAAAATAACAAGCAATAAACAAAATAAACAATACAATTAATATAACTCACAAGTAGACAATAAACACAAGAATTTAAAAACCTATGGCTGGACCAAATGTAATAGTTAAAACTTTAAAAATAAATGCTGGACATGAACAGAGGATGTCTCTATTTGGAGGGTTTTAAATCAAAATGGGTAATTAAAGTGCTTATATAATATCCTCATAACTCATAATATCCTCATAACTCTCCTATCACCTACCAAGGTACCAGAGCCCCTGGTAGTGCAATGGGTTAAACCCTTGTGCTGGCAGGACTGCTGACAGAAAGGTCAGCAGTTCAAATCCAGGGAGCAGGGTGAGTTTCCATTTGTCATCTCCAGCTTCTCGTGTAGAGACATGAGAGAAGCCTCTCTCAAAATGGTAAAACATCCAGGTGTCCCCTGGGCAATGTCCTTGCAGGCGGCCAATTCTCCCACATCAGACGCGACTTGTAGATTCTCAGGTTGCTTCTGACACAAAAAAACCTACCAAGGTAGTTTGGTGTCTCAAGAAGGTGGAGTGTATGGGGCCCCAAGTGACATAGAAGGGTTCTCAGCATCTCTTCATCTCCCAGCTGAAGGGCAAGGTGAATTATTGAATTGCCATAGCGATCCAGCAGAGTGGGATCTGCACCAGCTTGGAGCAAGAAACCAGCCACCCTGGGCTGACGGGTGATCACAGCCAAGTGCAGAGGTGTCTAATGAGAGAGAGAGAGAGAGAGGGAATGAGCCGCAGAATCAAAAAGATGCCATACAGGCAAGCACTCTCTTAGGCCTACAGGTGGCCCAGACTCCACCGCCACTATCCAAGTACCGGGGTATAAGAAGAAAAAACATAATGTTCTGTCTCCATACAAGTTGTGATCACAATGAAGCTATGGCACAGCACTGCATGTTTATCCCATGCCCTGTCCCTTAACTACAATTTGCACTATCCCATTCTCTTGTCTGGCCATGTCTTACAATGGTTGTCACCATAGGTCACTGGGCATTGTTCTGAGTTTTAAACTGTTGTTTTTATATGCTATATTTTTTACTTGATTGTATTTTACTGTGTGTTTATATTTTATGCTTTGTCTTGGCACATTGTGCCATATGTAATTCGCCCTGAGTCCCTTTGGGGAGATTGAGGCAGGGTACAAAAATTAAGTTGTTGTTGTTGTTGTTATTATTATTATTATTATCTATTAACACATCTCACTACACTAAAACAGTGGATGTGGTTCTTAATGAGACATGCTGCATTATCACAGGCTGTCTGTGCCCTACACTACTGGAGAAATTACACTGTTTAACTGGAATCACACCACCTGACATCTGCCGGGAAGTAGCAGGCAATAAGGGAAGGACCAAGGCAGTGACATCTCCAGCCTATCCCCTGTTTGGATATCAGCCAGCACACCAATGCCTTAAATCAAGAAATTGTTTTCTAAGATCTACAGAGACACTCGCAGGAAGACCTCAGCAAGTGAGAGTCCAAAAGTGGCAGGCTAAAATTCAGAACCTCAAGCCATGGCTGATACCAAACGAGAGACTCCCTCCTGAGCACACAGAAGACTGGGCAACTTGGAAGGCACTGAACAGACTGTGCTCTGGCACCACGAGATGAACAGCCAACCTTAAGAAATGGGGCCACAAAGTAGAGTCCATGGCATGCAAGTGTGGAGGAGAGCAAACCATAGACCACCTATTACAATGCAGCCTGAGCCCTGCCACATGCACAATGGTGGATCTTCTTATAGCAACACCAGAGGCACTCCAAGTGGCCAGCTACTGGTCAAAAGACATGTAATAGAATGCCAAGTTTCAAAATTTTGTGTTTTTTAAAAATACATTACAACTGTACCCTTGGTTCACTTCTGATATGATAAATATGGACCCAATAGGCTAGATCTGTCATCACCCTTAATTAATTATCTAGCAAAGGGTTCACATGAAAGGAGCCATGCAGCAATTCATAAAAGAACTCATGGTGAGGCTCTGCTTCAACACTGCAAAAAAAAAAATCACTTTTAGTATATGTCCATGGCAAATCTGGGTGAGACAACCCTGAGAGCCTAAAATACACACAGGAAGGGTGGGTGCAGTGGAGACAGCACTGGAGTCAGGCTGAAAGGTGCCCTTGGACACCAGCTATTATACCTGCTGCAAATGATTGGCGATGTTGATGATCTGTTGATTGGGGATACTGACTGCCACTTGGACCAGTTGTGCAATCACAGCTGTCTGCTCATGAATAACTGCCAGGTGTAAAGGTCTAAAGGAAAAGAATAAGACTGTAAGGCAAAGCCACTGTTACACTAATCAGTTTCAGAAACTAACAACCCCCACCAAGCAAAAAGGCTAAGCCCATCACCATTCTAGTTGAAGCATGCCATCTTGCAGGAAGCAAATCCAAGCTTCCCCAATATTTGGGAATTTTACATTTAAAGAATAAGAATCTGTTAAGTAGTGAGTACTGCTATGAAACTTAACAACTTGATGAAGTTGAAAAGAGGAACACAAGATAAAAGATTTAAAACAGTTATGTGTCCCTTTGAGGCAGGCGTCCCCAAACTAAGGGTCACAGGCCATATGCAGCTCTCTAAAGTCATTTACCTGCCCCTCCCCTAAACATGAGACTTAGGGTTGCCCTACGTCTGAAACTACTTGAAGGCATATGACAACAACAATCCTAATTAACTCAACTCAGCCAAAAGCAGGCCCACACTTCCCATTGAAATACTGGTAAGTTTAGGTTGGTGACAACTGTTCTTCATTTAAAATATTATATTGTTCTTTCATAGTTTTTTTTTTGCACAACAAATAACATATATGCATAGGAATTAGTTCATGTTTTTTCAAACAAAACAGTCTGAGGGACTGTGAACTTGTCCTTGGCTTCAAAAAATTTAAGGACCCCAGCTTTGAGATAAATCTAAACTGGAACACTGTCAATCAAGCTCCTTCAGCTATTATTATTATTATTATTATTATTATTATTATTATTATTATTATCTTTATCTATATGCTGCCCTTCTCCCCGTGGGGACCCAAGGTGGCTAACAATCTCACATTTTAATCCGATCTTCAATTGCCGGCCATGCTGTTTTAAGATTGTATTCAAACTGCTGACAAATCCAGAAACATTTCTATATGCCCAGCATTCAAAAAAGGCTGTGGAAAGTAGGTGCATTTAAAAAAAAAAAAAGACAAGGGTGGAGGAAAGGTGAAAAAATGCAATTCAGCTATCCTCCCTTTCAGCAGAGATGAGAACAAATTGGGAAGTATTCCCCACACTGCAGAGAGTGTCAAGGGAAATGTCTGCCTAGCATGAGAAGTATCCGAGGAAACAAGTAGCAGGATAAACATAGCCTTCTCCCCGAAGAGTCCTTTGGTCCTGTTCTTTCCAGAACACACTCACGTGTCTCCATTCTCATCCTGAGACGCTGCAAGGTGTCTCTGCACAGCCAAGAGCATACGTGGGTCAGCAGTGACAGCATAGTCCAGAAGGGCCCGAGCGCTGCGTCGAGCCAGCATCAGCATCCATGAGCTGCATTCTTGAGCTAGAAAGCATTAATACAATCCGGATCAGTCTTATTTTATTTTATTGCATTTACCTCCAACTTATTATGACTAAACCACCCCAACACAATTCTGCTTGGTCAAACCTGACTCCAGCAGGAGAAGCCCATGGCAAAGTGCAAAGGGCTCCTGGTGTTTCCAGAGAAAAGGATACGGTACTGCATAATGGGAGGCTGTTCTTTGTCAAAGACTCTGGAAAGCAACTCCCTGCTCTCTTTCTTCCAGAAAGGAAACATTTGATTAAAGCAGGCCTTTTTAGTTTTAATCATTACTAATTAATAATATGCTTTATTGATTTTAATTGGGATCTTTTTTATTTTTGTAATGTGCTGTTTTATGTGAACTGATATTGTCATTTAATAATATGCTGATGTGATTTTACCTGTATTTTATGTGGTTATGGCACTTGTATGTAAACCACCCTGAGTCCTTTTTGGGAGAATGGTAGCAGTGGACTGGCCACGTTGTCTGGATGCCCGACCACCATCTTCCAAAGCAGTTGCTCTACTCCGAACTCAAGAACAGAAAACGCAATGTTGGTGGGCAGGAAAAGAGATTTAAAGATGGGCTCAAAGCCAACCTTAAAAACTCTGGCATAGACACTGAGAACTGGGAAGCCCTGGCCCTTGAGTGCTCCAGCTGGAGGTCAGCTGTGACCAGCAGTGCTGCAGAATTTGAGGAGGCATGAGTGGAGGGTGAAAGAGAGAAACGTATCAGGAGGAAGGCGCATCAAGCCAACCCCGACCGAGACCACCTTCCACCTGGAAACCAATGCCCTCACTGTGGGAGAAGATGCCGGTCAAGAATAGGGCTCCACAGTCACCTACGGATCCACAAGAATACTGATCATGGAAGACTATCCTACTTGTCCAATAAGGGATTACCTAAGTAAGTAAGTAGTATTATTATTCATATGCAAAATTGTATGCTGCATTTTAATCTTTTATTGAAAATATCTTTTAAAAATATTTTGAGAGTATTAAACTTTTTAACCATGTTGTAATAATATTTACTTCTTTAAATGTTTGCAAATTAATATTTTTGCTGTCTATGTTTTTTAAATATTGTAAGCTACTTTGAATTCCATTTTAAGGGAAAGTTGAATATAAATTCAATAAATAAATAATAAATAACTATTGCCAACCTAGGCAATGTTCGCATAGGCTGAAGTGGGGCTATGAATTACTGTACTTATTCAAATCTAATACTCACCTTTTTGGCTAAATTACCTTGCCAAAATGACGGTGCATATTAGATTTGCATAATAGGGTCATCTTAGTGCTGAGCCAAAACAATAGGAGAAGCTGCCTAAGGAACACCTGGTGTTGTGAGTCAGCGTCTGTCTCATGTACCTACTACTAGTAGTAGAAGGAAACGTGGTTTAGAAGATGAAGAAGCTCAGCAACAGCTGAAACGTATTAGAGACTTGTTCTTAGAGACTACGGATGAGGAAGATTTTGAGGGTTTTACTCGCGAGGAAATGGAGCTGGAAGATTACCGCGGTGTAAAGCGAGTAGCAAGCAGCTCGGATAGTGATGTGGGATCTGTTGTTAAACGCCTTAGAGATGTAGCTGATTGTGAGGAGTTTGACAGCGAAGAGGAAGAGCTGGATTGGACTAAAGTTCAGGAAGTATTAGATGTGGTTAATGCTCCCACGTCTAGCGATGAATTCCAGGGTTTTAATGACACTTGGGTTCCAGATAATACTTTGCAGGATGCAGCCCGAAGCACAGACTGGCAGCAATGGCGAAGTCGGGATTCACCTGTGGAGGCAGACGCACCTGAAAGTAACTCCAGCGACTCGGATGAGATTTAAGGAGCAGTTTGGGAACAAACTAATCGCAGAGTTCAAAGTGTCGCGTTACCGTGTGCCTTGTGTTTAACTTCTGCCCTGAGCTCTTGTTTGCAGCTTCGTGGACTCCTGATCATGTGAACAATCTTGCCGGACCTGGACTTGTGAGTCTTCCTTGCCTTGACCCTCGGACTGCCTGACTACGCCTCTGCTAATCCCCTGGTGACTTCGTTGGACCGCTCTTCATGCGGATTGCTGTTTGCTGTTTTGTTTGGCTTTGAAATGAACTGAGTTTTTACTGCTGAATTGAAGCTGTTTTGCCTGCGTTTGGACTTGCTTTCCTTTTGCCAGCGAGGACTGACTGGGACTTGGTTTGTTTACATTCTTGCTGACCGCAAGCCTTTTGTGTTTATAGCTCTGACTTTAAGAGCCTCCTTTTGTTGTGCTAATAGACATTAAAGACCTTTGTTTAACTCCTTCACTGCCGTTTTGCTTGCTGGTCCGTCTGGGTCTTGACACCTGGGGCTTCTATTTGAGGGATGTCATCCATAATTTGATTGTCATGGCTCAATGATATGCAATGCTGGGATTTGTAGCTTGATGAGGCATCTGCACGCTATCAGAGAAGGCCCAAGGCCTTGTAAAACTATGCCCCCATGGCTCCATAGCATTGAACCAAGGCAGTTAAAGTGGATACATTCTACAACATAGATGCACTCCAAGATTTCTTTTCCATTGCTGAAAGCTTTGGTGCTCTAACACTTTTGTTTTTAAAGGAGGGATTCCAAGAAGGCAGCAACTATAATGGCCATATTACAAAGAGTGCACCTTTTGCTGCTGCATATTATATTCATCAGCAAATACTTTTTCTGGCTTCAGGGTTTTGAAAATCAAGGTAAGCATTATATTCTATGGCACATTAGACTCATATAAATACAGGCCTATTTACTGAGCTAAACCAGAGAAAGGCAACTATAATTTACAACCTGATGCCTCTGATCCTGAAAAACATAGGGATTCAATGTTCTAAACACACTTTTGTTGAAAGTTGTTGAAATAATAATAATAATAATAATAATAATAATAATAATAATAATAAACTTTATTTATACCCCGCCACCATCTCCCCAATGGGGACTTGGAGCGGCTTACATGGGGCCAAGTCCGGACAGCACATTACAGCAAAAATAAAATCAAAACATAAACAACAAGCAACATCATCAAAATTACATGGAAAAAATAAAAAAAAACATATGAATACAGTAACAAAATAACATTACAATAAATACAGTGGGCAGGCCACATGTTCAGGATAAAATGTTTTAAAAACTCTAATGAGATAAGAATAGGAGCAAGTTATTTGCAGGGAGCTCATAAAGAAACACAGGGTTGCGAACTAAACTTCCTATTTGGGGGGCGTGTACTCCAGTGACAGAAATGTTGAGGGGAACAGTAGTGTCATGTTGTGCACCTACTCGCCAAAGGCACAGTGGAAGAGCCAGGTTTTAAGGTTCTTTTTAAACGTTTCCAGTGTAGGGGCTTTCCTGATCTCTCCAGGTAATGAGTTCCAAAGTTGGGGAGCCACAGAGGAGAAGGCTCTCTCCCTTGTGCCCACAAGACAAGCTTGTGAGATTGGCAGGGGCGAAAGGAGGGCCTCACCCGAAGATCGAAGGGCCCAGGTTGGTTCATGGAGAGAGATACAGTCACGAAGGTAGGCGGGTCCCAAACCGTTTAGGGCTTTGTAGGTGATAACCTGCACCTTGAATTGGGCCCGGAAAATAAACGGCAGCCAGTGGAGCTCCTTAAACATAGGGGTCAACCGCTCACTATAACTAGTCCCAGTAGTAAGTAATACAATAGTAAGCAGAACTATTGTATTTAGGTTGCTCTTATGTCAAAGTTCGATCAAAAATCCATGAAAAATTAAAATAGCAAACATTTTTAAAGATTTTAACTGTTTTTCAAATTTTACAGTAAATGCAGTGTAAATTTACAGTGCTTGGAATCCACCATAGGGCACGCTCCAGGATAAAGGAAGTATTATTAATTAAATAATAAATATATGAAAAATAAACATGAGTGCTATTCTACTCTGGGATAAAGGAGGCATATAAATTAATTAAGAAATACAAATAAACATGAGTGTTGGCTTGATTCCTGAAAGCACATGGGTTTAGTTTCTATATGTATTCACATAATACTGGATAATACTTCATTTTGGGGTTGGGAGACATCATGCTATTGAATGGAGATCTCAACTACACAAACTAGCTCCTAGATGCCTCTCAACACAGACAATTGGGTTGCATAACCATACCATGCTGTAGAAGTTCTAGGCAATCCTTTTCATCTGTGAAGGCTTGTTTCCTATCCTCTGAGAGCTGACGGTCCCCATCTTCCACTGGGACAGCTTTAGGCATCTGAATGCCTCTCCCTCCTTGATAGCTGCCCACAGGGTGGGTGCCAGATAGGTAGATGTTGCTATTGTAAGGACTGTATCCTGCAGAGTTCCAGGGATTTCCACCTAAAGCAGACACAGCAGAAACAATGTTGTCACAAAGATGATTTCCAATGGGTATGCTGGAAAAAATAGCTCTCTGAGCAAAACTGTATCTAGTTATCGTTGCAGACTAGGTAGTGTCTTAATAAGAGCACTGTGGCATGGAAACACCATTCAATTTATGTCGTAAAGCCCACATACCTAACGCTTGTATTAATCAATTTATTTCAGGATGGTTTTTAACATGGATCTTTCTGTTCAAAGAAATTGTTCCTCCCTCCACCTCTCCACCCTACCTCACTTAGTCCCCATCTATAATGCCGTATCATCCAGTTTCTGAATTGGCAGTGCAAATCCAGCTTTATAAGCAGCAAATCATCAAGCACTGGGATATGACCAGCACACCCTTGCAGCACAAAAAAGGAACACCATCTTCACTGGAATTGTTTGCTAAGAAAATTACATGTGAACAGATATCCATTAGATTAACAAGTAGCTCAATTTGCATATGCTATCAACACTGCATTTTAAAATGTGGAAGACCCACAGTTGGTCCACCGAATGTAGCAACTGCATCCTGGTTATAATTCCCCCCAAAATAAAATAAATGGAAGGTTCTTTACTTAGTACTGTTTACAACAAAGAGGGGGGGAAAGCACACACTCTTGTATAGGGATCAACGGATGATAAAATATCCGTAATGAATCAACAGGCCATCAAGTGTTTTGAAATTTATCATGCTGGCAGAAACCTATAGAAACAGCTTAGAAAATTGTTTGGATGCTGACACTAAAAGCGTCTAAAAATCTGCAAAGATTGCATTTTTTTTCGTTTGCTTCATAATTCAGATCAAATTTGTTAAATTTTGTACTTATGAGGGAATATTTGGTACATGGATGTGGCCCACGGCAAAAAATTAAGAATCAAAATTTACCCCATACTTTTTTGTTTTAGTTTTGTAAATCTTGGAAGGCTCCGAAAGTCAGTTCCTTTTCAGTGCAAGGAAGCAAAACAAAGTCAGAAAGGCTGCCTTAGTGCCTTGGCTTGCCTTGTCTCTAAATTAATGTAGTTTCAGCACTAGGAGCAGGAAAAAGAGGGAGCAGTGTTTGCTGGGAACAGAACTCTGAGAAATGTAGTTTGGGAAGGGAGGAGCTCTATGACAGAGAATTCAAAAGGCCCTATCCTAAACTACATTTCCCAGAATGCATCAGCATTAGAAAGCACCAATCAGGATAGCGGAGAGAGAGATTTGTCCCTCCCTTACATCAGCCAGTGAGAGTTCTACTGGTTAATATCATCATTCAATGAGATAGCTGTTGTGGCTTTTAAAAACAATTTGTCAAAACTTTTTTTTAAATCCCTAAAATCAGTAGACATATGAATATTTCTGAAAGTTTGAGGGGAATGATCTTGTTATCTCCTGTCATTGCATAGAAAATCTAAGGAGATAGCTCTTGTAGGTTTTTAAAACATGTTGTTTATGAAAACTTTGAAAATCCCCAAAAATCCATGGATAAGTGAAACATTCTGAAATTTGGTGCGCTAACAGTGTTAAATGTTTTACCATTGTAGTAAGTTTCACTCCAACAGCTTTAAAATTAGAGAGAAAGGAGTCTCGGAAGTCCCCCAATTATAGCAATTTATGCGCGATTACTGTAATGAAATAGTAGCAAAATTTCGTTACTCTCATTGTAGTAATAAATTTTTCAATAACTATACTTTAGAAACGAAATGCCAGTGCCCTCCAGTTTTGTAATGACTTTTGAACCATGTTTTTTTATGGATTACACATCCTAATTATCAGAACAAAACTGATAGTAAGCAAAGTGCAAGCAAAAGTTGCCAGTGTTGCTCAAGAAATCCGCAGTGTTGCTCAAGATATGATTTGCATTTTGAAAACAATCACTGAGTCTACCGTGTACCATGCAGCTGTGGACAAGCCTACATAGGGACCACCAAATGCAGCATTGCTCAAACACAAATCAAGGACATGAAAGGCACTGCAGACTACTTCAACCAGAGAAGTCAGCCATAGCAGAGCACCTGATGAACCAACCTGGACACAGTATATTATTTGAGAACACAGAAATGCAGGACCACTCTCACAACCATGTCAGACTACACAGAGAAGCCATTGAAATCCACAAGCATGTGGACAATTTCAACAGAAAGGAAGAAACCATGAAAATGAACAAAATCTGGCTACCAGTATTTAAATTCTAAAAATATAACAGTAAATAAAAAAACAAAACTCAAACACAGGGGAACTCCAGACACTAAACAATCAGGAACAGCTAATCACCTTTCAACAAGGAATTCCCCCAGGCAGTAATAGAGCACACCTAAAAACTGTCAGGCCATCAAATGCTAATTAAGGTGGCCAATTGAAACATTCACCCCTAACTCTAACAGACAAGAGTTCTTTCTCCCAACCATTTTACTAGTTTCCAACAGACTTCACAACCTCAGAGGATGCCTGCCATAGATGCAGGCAAAACATCAGGAGAGAATGCTTCTAGAACATGGCCATACAGCCCGAAAAAGCTACAACAACCCAATCACTGAGACTCTTAATGAAATTTGTAAACAGACATAACATGGCTTTAACTTCAGATCTGTTTCTTCCTTAACACTAAACTACAACTAAATGAAGACGAGAAGAAATTGGGACCTGATTTTGCAAGCTCAACGTATACGCAAAGTTTTCTAATAGATCCCACAAACAGCTTGAAACAACAAAAGTTGACTGAACCACTGGAGTAGATACATATATCTTCAGACTAAGCAAAAAGAAAACAGGATGTTTAAATCTTCAAGCTTTGTTGAAAATGATATACAAAGCCAAAACAAAACATAAAATAATCCATTAAGTTGGGAGAAACAAAGTAAACCTAAATAGACAATTTCCTAGTTAAATGATAGCCTGATGTACAAAAAGAATATTAAGAATGGAATGGATAAACTAAGAATTCTGTCAATGTCAAAAATAAAAAATAAGAACATTTTATAGAGGGGGTTAATTGTTGAAATAAGAATATTGAGAATGAAACAGCAAAGACAATAACATATTATGGTATGTAGAAACAAATTGTTGAAATACAGTAATAAGGCCAGATAAAATGAGATCAATTTAAATTAAAAGGAGAAAGATTGGGGGGGGGGGGGGAATATTGATGTGATGAATAAAATATGGAATTGCAAGCATTTAAACTTCCGTCAAAATAGTTAAATTGTTTATATTATATTTGTGGTTATATTTTAAAGTAAAGGTTTCCCCTTGACATTAAGTCTAGACGAGAAGTCAGTGGTGTTTTAAATATATATATTTATTTTTAAAGGGGATAGGATTATCGTAATTTGTTAGTTTAAACTTGGGGGTGGGGAAAGTAATGGAGTGGGGATATTATGGGGTTGTTTTTGTATTGGATTATTTTGCTTTGTTTTTAATTTGTTGGATTTAAGTTACATTTTTGAAAACGTAATAAAAATTAATTGCTAAAAGAAACGGAACTGAAGAGGCCTCTAAGCTAGTGTTTTTATTCAAAGAATTTAAACCTTGACTTCTTTTTGCATGTATTTTTGTGAAAAGTGCTTTCACATTTTTTCATTAACATTTCTTTGGATTTAATTATAAGCAATAAGTACAACTAATGCTTAGCATTACGTTATTCTTATTTTCCTCTGTCTCTGAAAGTACTTCACATATTTTATTATGTTTGGATTCTATTCAGACTTAATAGGAACAATAAGCAGCACAAATGGTGTTTTATTGAAAGATGTAAAACATATAAAAGCCTAATAACTTTGGACTGTTAATAGTATTAAAGCATGGTTGATTAAGCTTTCTAAGACATAAAATCAACTTTCACAGTATTACTGTATTTCTTCAGTTGTAAAATGCACATTTTCCCTAGATATAGATCTCTAAAAACAAAAGTGCAACTTAGAATAGCAAGTATATCCTATGTATTTTGGTGGTGGTGGTACTGAAATTAGTGTGTGTCTTACACTCAATGTTGTCTTACAGTCGAAGAAATACAGTAATATAATAAGCCATATTTTTAATTAACATGTTAATGCAAAAAAAAAAATCTTAAATACCCCCTCTCTCAAATTCTGCTTATGTGCTTACTTAACTTAAACTTTATTTATATCTCGCCACCATCTCCCCAAAGGTGGTTTACAAGACAGCATATATCTCCAAAGTGCAGCATATAACATAAATGGTACATGAATATAAAACAATATCACATAAAAATTATGAAAATAACAACTATCAACACATATAAAATAAAATAACACAATTTTAAAAATGAAGACCATCCATAGTTAAAACTAGCTGCCATCAATTCACAACTGAAGTGCCATAGTGTCAAATGTGCTCTTCACCTTCCAACACATACACATATTTCTTACACTAAGTGCTAAAATATCTTCTGCTTTTATTTCTCTGATAAGATGATAGGCAAACACTAAAACTGGATCTACATGCCCTAAAATGTAGTTTCAGAATGTGGAGTGCATTGGTCTGGATTATAGGGCAGTGTAGACTGATATAATACAGTTAATCCACATTCTGAAACTAGATTATAGGGTAGTGTAGATCCAGCCTCAGTCTTCCTTCCTTCCACTCATCTCACCACATTGATCCCACTCAAATGAAAACCACAATCAGCAAAGGATGTGGGACAGTACCAGGGGAACTTCCTTATAATAGGAAACCTGGGAATCCCCATACACTGGGGAGTTTCCCTACTGTCAGGCATTATATTAACAAACTGGTAGCCAATATATGACTATATCAATATAAGTAGCAAAATGCAGTTCAGATGATACACCCACTAGCTTAAATACTAATTGGGTTTTTTTTTTTCTTTTCAAAGCTGTCTTGATCAAACTTAATTGACGAACTTATTTCAGAATGGCATCTCTTGCATGATAAAATAAAGTGGTTCAAATGAAGCAACTGATACTAGATACTGTTTTAGTAATGAACAACTGCCAATAAACTGTTAAAATTAAATTAAACAACAGTCATTGTTGCTCAAGCAAGTGGGATGTAAAATCGTAATAATAGTCAGAGTTACTGCTGTGGGGAGCCTTGCCAAAATGAAGAACATTCATTTGAGCAAAATGGATGAGAAAATTGCATCACTAAAGGCAGTGGAGTAAGAAGATTGCAAATGTCTAAATAACATTTCCTGCAGAGGAAAATACCAACAACAAAGCCATCATTGCCGGGGGTCCGGGGGTCCGGGGGGGGGGGGGGGGGGAGTGCACATAAGACATGAAAATAAGGAGACAAAAAACAGAGTATGATGTTTCATATACTGTATTTCTTCAATAATAATAATAATAATAATAATAATAATAGCTTTATTTCTATCCCGCAACCATGTCCCAAAAGGGACTTGGGGTGGCTTACAATATAGTACAACCAAAGTGCAAAACAGAACACATAACATACAATAAAATTTGCAAAAAAATCAATAAACAGCACAAATGAAGATAAAATAACAACTAACAAGATTTACAGAAGCAACTCAATTGAAATAAAAAAATAAGTAATAATAAAGATGGGAGAAAAAGAAGGAAGGAAGGAAAAAAAAGGAAGGAAGGAAGGAAGGAAGGAAGGAAGGGAGAGAGGAAGGAAGGAAGGAAGGAAGGAAGGAAGGAAGGAAGGAAAGAAAGAAAGAAAGAAAGAAAGAAAGAAAGAAAGAAAGAAAGAAAGAGGGAGGAAAAGGAAATTTGAATTTTGCAACATGGATTCTCCCGGCTTGGCGTTAATGACATGTTAATCTATTAATTTATTGTTAAATTTTACTGATGACGTTGTACAATGTTTTAAAATGATTTTATTGTGAATTGTAATTTTTATGGTATTTATGCTGTTAGCATCCTCTGATGCTCATGTGAGGCCGTGCTGAGTCCCCCTTGTGGGGAGAAGGGCGGGATATAAATATATGAAATAAATAAATAAACAAACAAACAAACAATTCTTCCTCCCCCATATAAATATCCCTACCAAGTGTTTTATAATATATAAATAGAGCTTTTTCTGTTAACAATACTTAAATTATTGTGTGCGTCTTAAAATCAACGGTATCTTAGAATCAAAGTAATATGGTATACAGTATAACTCACTGAGATATAATTATTGGGTGTATTCTGATGCATATATGTAACCTATACTCAGTATAAAAGGCCACTGTCAAGACAGAATATAGAAAATCAGAATAGTTTCCAATTGGCCAGATGGTCAGGCAAGGCTGCATGATAACATCCAATTTGTTTAACTTGTACATTGAATGTTATCAAACATAAAGCTGGATCGATGGAATGAAGCATCAAACCAGAAGAAGGAACATAAACAATTTAAAATATGTATATTGTATCATACTACTAGCAAAATATAGCAAACGCTGGAGCAGCTATGAAAGAAAGTCAAGGCAGGGCTTCAACTGAACATTAAGTAAACAAGAATATCAGCCGCTCTATATACCTGGGGCATCTTTATTTCAGCATTTCCATCATCAACTTTAATGAAAATGCTGAAATAAAGATGTTCCATACTTTGGCTCAGTATAGAGAATGCATTCAAAAAATCAGAAGCCTAGAACTTGGAGTGACAGTTATGAAGGAACTAGACTTGAATCTAAAGTGCACAGGTATATTGTTGGATATTAATGTTATTGTCCACTTTCGTATTTCTGATTTCTATGTATGGTTATGAAAGCTGGACAGTGATAGGAAGAGAATCAACTTAAATAAATGATGGAGCAGAGATCTGCAGATACCCCGGACTGCCAAAAGACAAATGAATGGATCTGAGAGCCAATCAAATCAAAACTCCCCAAAATGCCAAGGAGATTAAGCTGAGACCACTGTACTTCGAACCAATCATGAAAAGACATTAGAAAATATGACAATGCCTGTAAAGCCAAAGGCAGTAGAAAAAGAGGAAGACCGTATAGACTATGACCCCTGTATCCACCATGGTAGAAACAGGTAATCACAGATAATCCTACTGAATCCTACTGAAATTAATAACTTTTGCCAATTGTTACCACAGAGGATCTACTCTGGAGAGGACACCATTTGTTTAGATGTGGGTAAGTGAAAAAATGGGTGGTACAATGAGTATGGGGAATATACTGTTGATTGAAATCAAGGAAACCATAGCCCTAAGTATGCAAGATCTGTGTGGGGTCTCAATAACAGTGTGGCTTGTAGGAATCTCATTCACAGAATCACCACAAAGCTGACTTGACAGCAAGTAACAACCGCAATTATTGGAAACAACTCTAAAATGAGAACATCGATATTTCTTCCAAGGCCAAGTGGCATTCATCCAAAAGTTCAAGCAGCAGCAGGGCATCCATCCAAGTGGCAGCACTCAAAGCTTCACTCCCCAGTTACAGCTTTAGGTTACAGCAGTGTTGGCCTTAAAATCCAATTGTTCTACGGTTGTACTTCAACAAATCAATACAAGCTATTAATCCCACTTCACAGAAACCCTTCCTTGGAAATATGCATCTTCACCGCTTCCCACACACATTTCCATCAGTCCATTCACATATATATTTAGAGAATCATCACAAGTCATCTCAAATACATCCCCCTTTTGCTGTTATGGATTTTGGTATGACCCATGGTTTTTAGCTAACATTTATAGTCTTTACAGGTTTATATATGGGTTCTGTTAGGGTGGTGCTAATTTTGTGGCTACTTCACTTCTGCCAAATAGCATCCCCACATCTTCCTAAGGAACTGGCTCAACTTACATTGCAATCCAGGAACACATCCTCAACATGTATCACTGTCTGTCTGTATTATGAATTCTTAACATGATTTAATTAAAACCATCTAACATCTCAAAATTCTACCTTCCTATGGCAAGACAGAGAAGAAATAAATTAAAGATGTCGAGACCTGATAAAGATGTTCTTGGCAACTATACATGGAAACACCTGTTAATGATTGTACTGTGTAAATGTCAGACATCAGCTGCACATGTGCGGAAAAGTTGATTTTATGCTATAAATACTGAAGCGATTTAGACCTCAAGTGGTGACAGCCCTTTGCTCGCTGTACACCCTATACTCTGCAGAGATAGAAATAAAGGCCTGAAAATCGGACATGCTGTCTCCATCCTCTTCCTTCTTCTAAAGCACTCAAATGAACCTCTGGGCAACGTATTCCATAACACATGAAGTCTTCATCAATGAAAAGAGACTCTACCTCCACCAGAGCCAAATCCACCAGCTCCACCACCTGCTCCTCCCATAGGGGCACCTCCACCAAAATGTTGAGGAAATTGAGGCAAGAACTTCTTACGCTTCCTTTCCACTTCTTCCTTATCTGCAGCCAAAAATATGGAACAGTTATCGCAATTAGATCCTGCCATGGCACTAAAGAACAAGCAATACCTTCAATATAAAGTGGTCTGTACCTTCAACAATCGGATAATATGTAAACTGCTTGGAGTCACTGACATCACCTCCACGCTTGCGCTTCAGTTGGAGGAACACAGTGACTGGGCGATCGATCTGCGTCTTGTGATAGGGAGGCGTGCGGAACACAATAGCATACTGTAGGAAGAGAAGGCAACAGGGTGCAAAAGGACAGGTCACAAACCACACAGCTAGATAATAATAATAATAATAATAATAATAATAACAATAAACTTTATTTCTACCCCGCCACCATCTCCCCAATGGGGACTCGGAATGGCTTACACGGGGCCAAGCCCGGACAACATAATAAAGCAATAAAATCAAACAGATAACAACAGCATTATCAAAATGACATTAAAAAGAAAAAAAAGAATATATATATATATAAAATAAGCATTCCAATAAACACAATCACGATAGTGATGGCAATGGGCGGGCCACATATTCCGAATAAAAACAGTTAACAAACTATGATGAGGTAAGATAGGAGCAGGAAATTTATATAGAACTCATAAAACACAGAGAGTTGTGAGGCAGAATATCCTATTTGGAGGGCACAAACTCCATTAGCAGAAAACGTAGATCACACCCAGCACACTGGTATACCTTTCTGAATACAACATATGCTAAATTTTGGGCAGTGCTCTTCTTACACGAACAACAACCCATTTTAATTGAGTGGGGAGGTATATATTTTAGTCACGTTGCAATGTATCAAAATGCTCAGAGTGACAAATGTGAAAAACATGGTTTTAAAAAGGGAAACCATTTAAAAAACATGCTCAAAACCACTGGGGAAATGCAAGACTTGGTAAAGGTTCTTGAAAATAAAATGGTTTTAACATGCTGATAGAAAATGCTTTAGTCTGGGTAGTCTACAGTATATTCTGGGTCTGGGTAGTTTAGTCTACAGTAGGGGCACTATTTTTCAGACACTGTTCTTGCCTCCCAAAATGAAAGTCCTAGGACATAGCCTTCCCTGTCAGTGTTGATGTATGGGAGATGTGCAGAGGGAAAGAATAACTTCTTCTTCAATTGTGACAGATTATACAGGGTTCCAGCTTTTGAGTGGGGTCCATGAAAATAAGGTCAACAGGGCACTCACTATATAATCTCAAGCCCCATCTACACTCACAGAATAATGTGGCTTCAAGATGACTTAAACCTCAACAGCTACAAAACTCATGCCACCAATGTGCACTGCAGCATGCATTACAGGGGATACAGTACATTAAAAGAAAAGTCCAAGTTAACCCATTAAATGCACTGCAGCAGATCCAAGCATACCCCAGATTCAATGTGAATAATGTATTGTACTGAATGGAGATGAATCAATTTCTAAAAAATTATCATATAATAGTTTTAGCTTTAAATCTTGGCCTTAAGCCACAACTGATTTATTTACAAATACCACCAACCAATCTTCCTACCACTATCAACTCATTTCACTCAGGAATAGCAATTAAAATTGACACCTTTATTATAGCCCAAAACTGTACAGATCAACCTTTATTTTCCTCTGATAAAGCAGCATTGCCATCAGCAATACACTCAATTAGTTCTGAGTTGCTTTCACTGGCCATAAGCAAGAGACAGGACAGACACTTCTATAAAGCATCAGTCATTGCAACAAAAACAGTCTCAAAGTGACAAGCAGATACTGAGGAACTATCTAATAATAAGAATAACAACAACAACTTTATTATTATATCCCGCCATCATCTCCCCAAAGGGATTCAGGGCGGCTTACAGATGGCACAAGGTAACTAAAAACAAACATAAAAGTGACCAAAATATAAAATACAATACAATAAACATGCACATATAAAATCAATTCAGACTCAATCAAGCTGTGATCCTCTAACCGTGGCTGTTAGAGGACCTATTGGTCCTGCAGAAGTAACAGCATTTAAGTGTTGCCCATTTAAGGTGCTTTTTAAACTGTCAAATACTCTTGAAACTCATTAGGAGGTTGTAAATATAATATGTCTTTCATCACTAGAAGAGGCAGCATTGCTGGATGACAATGAGGCAGTGCAGCTGGTAAGATGTTACAGTAAGGAAAGTTTGCACCTTAGAAGTTGGAAGGACTTATTGGTTTTATAAGGGCAAACTCTGCCTTCTGGAGTGGCAAATGCCACCGACACACCACAATGATCATGTCCTTCCAAGTAATGATATGCCTACATCAAAGAAAGTAGACATACAGCAAAAATGTAACCAGTCAAACACACATTTTGAAATACTTGGGGTAATACAACACAGCAGAAAACCTCGCTTTTCAAGAAGATCACACAATACTAAGCTCCACCTGATGAGGCAGCCCAAAATGCAGAATTTAGTCACAGAGAAAGATGGAGGGCACCTCATCAGTCCCAAGGCAAGCTCAGGAGCCCTAAACATCAACAATATATATATTAACAGGGAATCTCCTTTCCTTGTCACAAAAACCCCAGATGCAGGGATTCATAATCTTAAAATTAGAACCCCATAATAACTGGCACAGGGAGCATGTATTTTACATAACTGAAGTTATATCTTTGATGCCTGCAGTAATAAAGAATGTTACAGAGAATGGTTTGATTGTGGCCACACGGAATTGAGCTCTGATTTGAATGCAGGTCAAAAATCTACACTTGCTCTCAGGATCATACAGGTACCTGTTTATGAACATCAGTAGGGGAGAAATCTCCAAAGGCCTGCCAGCCATTTTCATCATCTTCGTAAAATCGTACTTCAATATCATCTAGAGGAGGAGGAAAAGAAACAGATTGTCAGCATGTCAGTACTTGTACAACCACACTTGATTGAAAGAGTGTTGTCCTTTGCACGAAATGAAAAGGATACCAGTTTGTAACCCTTTCTGGTCAGAAGAAGAGAAAATATACTGGAAAGTTAATATCTGACATATTTAAATAGCAACCTCTATCTTCCTACCATAATTTCCCAAACCATTTGTCAGACTTTGGCTGCTTCTCTGCAGCAACAGCACATGCTCTTTTCTCATTGCTTCTGCTGCACTAAGTAAAAGACTCCCAGGAACATCCTGGTGCCATTTGTAAAGAGCAGACTTCCTTTTCTAGAACAAGGATACTGCTTATATTTGGAAGATCATACCAAACCAGGGGAAAGGCATAACAGTGTGTAAAAAAAGAATAGATGATAAATGGAAAAATTTGTTCACCATTTTATCTATATCCAGATCACTGACCCATGTTTCATATTAACAGAAGATACCAAGCCATTAAAGAGTCATTGTGCAAGCATAAATATATATCACACAAGACCTCAGCTGCTGCTCCAAAAGCATAAGCAAAGTAAAGAGGAAAAGACAGGATAAGGAGGACATAAGAAGCCAAGGGATACTGCTTACCTTTCTGAACTTTATCACACAGCAAGTAGACTTCATCCCCACCTCGCACAGAACCAGCTGTCTTGTCCATACGAGAGATTTTCAGGTTGGAAGCTCCAGGAGACTCTACAGAGAAAAGCAATATTTTAACTGAATATGCTTTATATAATTGTATGTGAACTTGATAAGAGATATAATCATCATCATCATCAACAACAACAACAACAACAACAGGAAAAACACAGCCATTATCAAAACCTCAAAATCGAACTGCAAAGGCTCTGGCATAAACCAGTCCAGGTGGTCCCAGTGGTAATCGGCACACTGGGTGCCATGCCAACAGATCTCAGCTGGCATTTGAAAACAATAAACATTGACAAAATCACGGTCTGTCAACTGCAAAAGGCCATCTTACTTGGATCTGTGCACATTATTTGAAAATATATCACACAGTCCTAGACACTTGGGAAGTGTTCGACTTGTGATTTTGTGATATGAAATCCAGCATACATATCTCATTTACTGTGACATACTGTGTTTTTGTGTCAGTATAATAATCATCATCTTTATTTACATCCCAACACCATTTCCCAAAAGGGACTTAGGGAGGCTTTCAAGACATTGCAGAGCAGTATATAACATAAATGACACATGAGTATAAAACAAGGTCACATAAAAATGATAAAACAACCACTATCAACACATAAAATAAAATAATTAACACAATTTTCTCAAGAATGTGCATCTGTTTAGTACCAGAGTACAAGATACATGCTTAAATATGGAAGCATGACAGAGGAATAACATTTCAAGAAAACTGTAACAATAAAGCTGTGTTCTGTAGGTCCTAACTGCAGATTAGGAGAGTGTACAAAACATGTCCCCAAGAAAGCATAGATAAATTTATGCAATACACATAATTACTTGTAAGGTTTAGACCTTCATGGCCAGATGCTTCAGAGAAAGTGAGGCTAAAGAAGTAAAGACACCCCATGGCTCTCCACTAACAAGATGGAAACTTCAGCTATAAGTAGTTTATGAAAAAAAAAGTTGACTCACTGCTGTCATGAATGGGATCTGAGACAACTGGCTTCAATGCCAGAGTGAAGTTTCCATTGCTGTCACGGAGGTAGGCACTGAAACGCAAGCGAACAATGCTGAGATCCATTGTCTTCTTCAGCTCTTTTGCTTCTTGGTCAAGCTCATCTTGGTCAGATTCTGTCAAATTAGACATTCAATTATAAGTCTGATGAAGAAAGAACTAAGCCACAACACTAGAAACCCAAGATCTCACATAGCAAGGTAAACTTTCAAATAAGCTAAGTAGATCCTCATAGATATATTGTAGGCAACAGAAGGTAGTCTGAGCACACTTTCCCTATGTATCCCAAATTTCTTTAAGGATAAATCAGGCTAAAATGATTTGGTGGGGGAGATGGAAAAAAAAGATATACAGAATACCATATGCAATGATAGGAGACACGTGGAATTCATATAGACACTATATCAAAGATCTTTTGGGAAAATGTTTGAAATTTATTTCCTGGATAATTTGCAATTTTCGGCATGCATACAGCTTCAACTTAAAACTTCTATGCTACAGATGGAAGCAAAATATAAGATCTAGGGATCATTATGCTCCTACTGTTGTTGTGTTGTTATTATCATCATTTCCTATGATATATGTAATGTTTTATTTTTGTCTCATCCTTTTATCACTGGCTTCTAATTTCAGGGGGCATGAACTTTTGACAATGAGTCCAAAGTTAGAAGCGAGGACTCAAAGAACTGTCCCACATTATCAGGAGGCCAGTAAGGTTGGGCAGGTATCAAGTCTTTCATTTAGGTATGCAGTATCCACTTCACTCAACATTTTAAACTGTGCCAACCACTAGCAGGTAAGTCTGACAGAAACCATCCAACCTGATTGTATGGCTTATAAAGAACAACACAAACATCAGAGATAGCACTTATCAAAATTAGCCAACCCTGATAATTGGAAATAGATTGTGGAAACCCACACTTTTCCACAGTATTTCTTGTACACAGGTGACAACCCTATCCTATTTTCCCCTTTCCCTAATTTCCCTACTAAACTTCAAATTCACCCACAGTTTTTCTCAGTTTCAAGACCATTTAAAAATAGGGTCCCCTCCTAGTTAAATAAATCCTTCTAGTTCAGATAGGATAGGGGTGAATCTGATGGCTCTGCTGGAAGAAAGATATCCAACACATGATTACCAGTTTCATGGAAACCAATGAGTCGGTGAATCCTGATTCATTTTGTAATTTCCTTCTTTCAGGGGAACAGTTACTGCTTAGACTTTTGATATAATTTATTTAACTTTTTGAATTTTCTATTGTTCTCAATGTATCCTCTTTTAATTCATAGAGGCCACACTCAAACATTGGCTTGGTGTGATGTAAATATCTCTGTGGAGTTATGCCATGTGAGCACTACACAAGCCCCATACAGAGTAGCAAAATTGCACAACATATATAAATGAATAAGTACCACTGTGCAACTCTGAATGCAATCACAATACAAAGTATAGTATGCCCAACCCTGATGGATATACAGCTAAAATGCAAAAATTAGGGTGCACAATTATGGATTCAATGTATTGTGTTCAGCAAGCCTCTGATTTTCATTCCTTATGTGTAAACTAGGAATATCACAGGAGGAAACTCAACCAGGCAATATATTCCTAGTCAGTGTGAAATGGAATTGAATTAATGTGCCAAAACTGTTATTTCACTCTTCGCAATATTATAAATGGTTTGATGGCTGGACAGCCAACAGAAAATAACAGATGAATTCCGGTGAAGGTTTGCGACACCCTGTGGTCTTGTTCTGATTGTAAGAGAATAAGTAGATAACAACAGCTGGAAAATACATAGGAAGTAAACATGCAATCTGTTGATTGTATGGGGAAGGGAGGGGTGGATGACACACACACGTTAATCATCATCATCCCTGGAATCCTGAAAACATATTTCTGTTTTAATGTCTAAAAAACATTCTTCCTCCCACATCCATTTTCATCCAAAACATCACCTGTCAGAGATTGCGTCCTATTTCGCATCTTCCGCTTCTGAAGTTTGTTCTTGATTATCTCCATCATGTTTTTCTTGGTTACATGGAGTACGCCCAGATTATTAAATCTAAAAAAATCACCAAAATTACTTTAACGCCACAAAATGTCAAATAACAACCTATCCCACAATAGGCATAAGATCCATGATTTATCACTACGTCAGTTGAAAATGTTTTTAAGCAATTAATAAAAGATCAAACACAAAACCTGCAAGGATTCCTTGTTACTACATCATGCTATTAAACAGTATGAAGAAAATGTCAGAAAAGATGGATACCTTTAAAAAGGAACCACCAAACACTGAGAAAAAGGACATTAAACATAACAAGTAGAGGCTGAGGAAGAACCATCAGGTTGCATGGCTATGCAGGTAGTATGGCCAACAGGTCCAAGATGAACAAATGCAATGAAACATCTGAACATCTGAGGGTTCTGTTCTATGATCATAGGATTATAAACCTGCTTTCAATCATAACTAAATTCCAAAAGCCAATGGGATGGTTTGCTACGTCAAAGACTTTCATGGCCAGAATCACTGGGTTGCTGTGAGTTTTCTGAGATGTGCACAACCTCTGAGGATGCTTGCCATAGATGTGGGCGAAACATCAGGAGAGAATGCTTCTGGAACATGGCCATACATCCCAGAAAACTCACAGCAACAGAGAAATGTTTTAATTGGATAATTTATTTAATATCTATTTCAAACTATCAGTTTTCTAAAGTTTTATTATAAATGTGAATAGACAATATTATAGAATCTGCATGTCTTTAGTCCAAAATTAACTGGTGAAAGGATCCGATAATACAGCAAAATGCTTCTACTGGCCCATCAGACGTTGGCCAAATTATGAAAATTCTTTCTGTTCTGAGATTAGGAAGCATGCGCTGAAAAGTCATTCCACGCAACAGTACCTCAATCCCAAAGGTCTTTACTTAAAAAAACTAAGCCTATTTGTTAATTATAGTTAATTTTTCTTATTTGATTTATTTGCCACATATCTTTTCCCCAGGCCTGTGATTTACAGCATATGACAAAGTTAGAGCACTTGTAATAACATTCTACATCATGAAAAATACAAAATAAAAAAGAGATGCAACTATAACAGAAGGAAAAGAAATTTTAAAACATACCCATTAAAACAGTGGTTCTCAACCTGTGGGTCCCCAGATGTTTTAGCCTTCAACTCTCAGAAATCCTAACAGCTGGTAAACGGGCTGGGATTTCTGGGAGTTGTAGGCCAAAACACCTGGGAAGCCACAGGTTGAGAACCACTGCATTTTAAAAACTAAGAATAGACACTACAGTACATAATTAAAAACCCTTCCTCGAGGGCAGGGAGTTCCCAAAGGCCTGCTGAAATCAAAAGACGATGCCACTATAACCTCTGTTTCACAGTCTGGGAATGGTCACCAAGAAGGCCTTCTCTTGTGTTTCCACCAGATAATGCTATGGGGATAGTGGGATAAGGAGAAAGGCCACCGCTGAAGAATGTAACACAAAGCCAGACTCATATTAGAAGATCCAGGAAACCTAGACCTGAGCAATACAAGATTTCATAGGTCACAGTCAGCATTTAGAATTGTGCTCAGGGCCCTTCCACACAGCCACATAACCCAGAATATCAAGGCAGGAAATCCCACAATATCTGCTTTGAACTCGGATATATAGCAGTGTGGACTAAGATAACACAGTTCAAAACAGATATTGTGGGATTTTCTGCCTTGATATTCTGGGTTATATGGCTGTGTGGAAGGGCCCTCAGAAACAGACCAAAACCCAAGTGAAACTCTTGTATGAGGGCAGTATGAATCCTAGAATTAGGCCTGGTCAATAGTTCTGCATCAACTCTTTGAATCAGCTAGTGTTCCACTGCTCTTCAAAGACAGTTTGAGGAACAGTGTGCACTATAATCGCTGCTTCTTAAAACTCTAGGTCCCAACTTCTCAGCTCAATGCTGGGGTCCCATTTTTTTTTTTCTGAACATCACTCAGTGAATGTCTTAGACATTTACAGAAATTTCTTGTGCGGTGTTTACAGTTGACTCCGCAGAAGATGCTTCAGTTATACTTCATAAAAAGACAAAATCAGTTTAGCAAGCCTTGCAAATGCTGATTTGTTATTAGTAAACATTTGATTTTTATACCTATTTTACATACCTATATACCCAAGGTCACATACAAATTTCCTGAGCCAAAAGGGGTCCCAAATGGAAAAGTTTAAGAAGATCTCATCTAGATATACAAGATTGATTTACTGCATTGGCAGGGGTCCTGAAACTTTTTAAACAGAGGGCCAGGTCACAGTCCCTCAAACTGTTGGAGGGCCAGATTATGATTTAAAAAATACATGAATGAATTCCTATGCAAACTGGACATATCTTATTTGTAGTGCAAAGAACACTTTAAAAGAATACAATAATTAAAATGAAGAACAATTTTAACAAATATAAACTTATTACTATTTCAATTGGAAGAATGGGCCTGCTTTTGGCTGATGAAATAGGATTGTTGTTATTCTTGTGTGCTTTCAAGTCATTTCAAACTTAGGTTGACCCTGAGCGAAAGCTGGGTAAATGACCTCGGAGGGCCGTATCCAGCCCCCAGTCCTTAGTTTGAGGACCCCTGGTCTATAGGCTTCTCCTATTCTGCATCTCCTTTTATGCTTTATAGCATGAGTTATTTTTCATTGACACTTTGTTGGTAAATTTGTTTAGGGTTTTTTCCCCCCTTTTACAGATAATGTACATCAGAGCAGGAAAAGCATAGTCTGCTGCTCAAAAAGAGCACCTCATAAAACTGTCAACCATCATGGTAAGGAAATAAACCTATTACACAAAAGGTTACAGTTGCACAATATGCTGGCAGACCATTTTGTTCAGTCTAATTTAATAGAAAACTACACACATCTTTTCAACATGGCACATTCCCCACTGGCTCATACGTACTGCGCAGTCATGTCCTTTGGGCCCACTGTCACAATGCAGTTGCCATCTTCGTTGCATTGCTTTCCCACCAGACTATGGGCATGCACCTGTGGAGGGTCAGTGTGCGTCACCAGGTCCACTTCTATCCTGGCCAGTCCAACATAATTAGAAATCTGCAAAACAAATAGGATAAAATAAGGTCCAGAAGAATTATGTCCTACACTGCTGAGAGAAAAGACCATCTATCTGTAAAATGTATATTGTCTTAGATCCTTTGTACTATTTCTTCAGAAGTACCTAGTTTTAAATTGTTAGTGACATGGTAATTATAACTTCCTGTACATTTTTCTGTAAACATGTTGTGCCTGATTTTATTTGTAAGCCATCTTAACTCGCATAATTAAAGTAAAACCTAAACTGTGTATCCTGCATAGATGGATTTTCAGATAGCGGTGCCACAGAACAAATGCTCACCTTGACAGTGGGATAAGTTTTGTGTCCCTTTTCACTAGAAGCTCCAGGCAACCCACCATGTGAAGGCCCTTCGCAGCCATACCGGAATCGGAAACCTCGCTGTCAGTAATTACAATAAAAAATAAAGACATCCCATCAGATGAGCAAGCTGTCAGAAATGCTTAGCAGTGGCAGAAGACTGATGAGGCATTCAACTCACCTGCTTTGGCTGTTCAATGATAGTGAGGAATGGGCCTTCAGCTGAGGATTGGGGAAAAAAAGAATACATGAGCCAAGACTGTATATGGACACAGCCCCAAGGGATGCAGTCAAATGATGCTGTGCTACCATCACCCAAAACATACATGGAACTGAAACCACCCTTCTTCCCACCACCTTGAAGAATTCTGACATCATCTGTATTTAATGTCCTCAGGCATCGAATTCCATCTACTGCTCCTTACCTGTCTCCATATGCAACTCCTTCTGCTCAATCAAATGAGAGCCAAACTGGAAATCATCATAATCCAAACCATCCAAGCACTGCATATAGGATGGAATCAAAAGAACAACAAGATCTTACTTAGGAAGTATATAAACACTAGATGAAGACACATAACACAAAAGAACTTCAAATAAAAGTTTGGTTTGGATACATTGCAGTGGTTCCCAACCTTTTCTTGACCAAAGATCACTTTGACCACGGACCATTCTCCAACATTAGTACCAAAAGGTTACGAATCAGTTTTTGGTCAACTTAAGATTCAGTTTGGTTATTTGGGGTGCTGATTCAGAAAATTGCATTGGATAGACCACATCAGCTCTAGTTTCTGATACAGAACATGTACCATCCAGTAATCACCATTTGCTTACCCGCAGGAAACCATAATGAATAAGCCTCTACGCTATAAAAGAGTTTCATGAGACCAGTTGCTCTCATTGCAATGATGTAGTAACTGTGGGGCCACGGACTGTATTTTAGTTCTTGTGGACCACTGGTTGGGAACCACTCATTTAAAGCAATTAACACAAACTAGAAAGAAACCTCTACTAGTATATACTAGGAGCAAACAATATTCTCACATAAGCAAGGGGGGGGGATTTAATACCTGCTCATTTCCCTGTGTTAATGAGGAGCTGCCCTGTATAAGCTGCTACACCATGTTATTATATCAGTTGTATACACTTTATGATTGCTTCATCTTACAAAAATCTTGGGATACACTTCGCATTCTCTGGCCATAATATTTCACCATAGTTTAGGTAACTATTAGAATACTGTATCACAAACACAAATCCCAGGATCCCATAGAACAGAGCCATGATACTACTTTTAGTATGAAATTACTATTGCCTACTAAAGAGAGGGAAGTGAATCCCAATTTGTCATCCCCCATATTATCCCTAATGCCCTTTCGCAGGGGGTAACTTCATAAATTTGGTGAAGAGGGGGTCATTTTAGGTCCATGAAGTCTTTTTTTTATCATTAACCTTTGCATCTTCTATGTTGGGGGTAGAAAGACCTTTCTTGGCTAAAATGGCCCAGAATAGGCAAGGGGGAATAAAAAACACTGGGCGATGCTCCTCTCCAAAGTCTGGTGAAAGATGAAACAGTACCCCCAACCCTTCCATGATGAAACTGGCATTTAAATGCTAGTCATACATCATTTGTGTGTGATAAATAAAAACAGGGAAGTAGTGTCTTTCTGCTCAGACTTTTGCCCTCCTCATATGAAGCACAGCTGATCTCAAAGTAAATCGGGCAGGAAGAGCAAACCCCTTTTTCTGGTACTTTTACCTAACCGACCCAATGACTCACAACAGTGCCTAAGAATTACTTACCCACCAAGTAGTGAGCTTGATGTGGCCCCAATTTACCTGCCAATTGGATTGGGGCAAGCCAAGAGTAGGGAAGGCCCAACAGGCCACTATCCTCAATATTCAGGGAAAGGCCTACTAACTATGTGTCACATTCAAGACTTGTGGGCCAAATCTACCCGTCAAGTCTTTTACATGACCCTCCAGATGCTGGCCCCTTCCACACACATATATAAAAATCCATATTACCTGATTTTAAATAGGTTATATGGCAGTACAGACTCAGACATTCCAGTTCAAAGCAAATATTGTGGGTTAGTCTGTCGTGATAATATTTATTATTTAGTGTATTTATATGCCACTTTTGTCACCCCTGGGGGACATAATTCTTGGCAAAATTCAACGCCTTACAGGTATAAAACATCACATATTAAATCAACCATATATAAAAAGGTAAAGGTTTCCCCTTCACATTAAGTCGAGTCGTGTCCAATTCTGGGCAGTGGTGCTAATCTCCATTTCTAAGCCAAGGAGCTGGCATTGTTCATAGACACCTCTAAGGTCATGTGGGGTTGGAGTGCCATTACCTTCCCGTAGAAGTGGTACCTACTGATCTACTCACATTTGCACTTTTTCAAACTGCTAGGTTGACAGAAGCTGGGGCTAACAGGAGGCCTCGCCCCAATGCCCTGATTCAAACCACTGATCTTTCAGTCAGCAAGTTCAGAAGCCCAAGGGTTTAACCCACTGCACCACCGGGGGTTTACACATATAAAACATCACATATCAAATCAGCCACATATAGAAATAGATTGAAACCATTAAAACTACAAAATTATAACAATCACAACATACCATAAAACATTAGGTCTTACATCGATCCCAAGATTATCTTTAACTACTTCATATTTCCATACTCCTGTCATATTGTGGGTTATATGGCTGTGTGGAAGGGGCCTGAACCCACACTGCCATATAACCAAATTCAAAGCAGATGTGGGATTTTATACAGCTATGTGGAAGGGGCTTATGGAGCACCCACCACTATGTAGATCAGGGGTCCTCAAACTAAGGCCCAGGGGCTGGATAGGGCTCTCCAAGGTCATTTACCTAGCCCTCACTCAGGGTCAACCTAAGTCTGAAACCACTTGGAATGCACACAACAACAACAACAACAACAACAGCCCTAACAACAACAACAACAACCCTATCTCACCAGCCAAAAGTAGGTCCACACTTCCCATTGAAATACTAATACGTTTATATTTGTTTAAATTGTTCTTCATTTTAATTATTGTATTTTAAGTGTTTTTTGCACAACAAATCAAATATCTGCAGTGTGCATAGGAATTCATTCATGTTTTTTTCCAAATTATAATCTGGCCCTCCAACAGTTTGAGGGACTCTAACCTGGCCCTCTGTTTAAAAAATTCAAGGACCCCTGATGTAGAGCATAGTGGTGGACTTAAACTCCCACAATTCCCAACAGCTTGGAAATTGTGGGAGTTGAAGTCCAAAAACACCTAGAGGGAGGGCCAAAGTTGGCCTGTGCTTGATGTAGAACTATTATACCCGGGCCCCTGTATCCACAGATTTTCCATCCGTGGAAGTGACAACGAAGGCAACCGTAAGGCTGATGGGGCCCGACATGGGCAGGACACTCCGGGTCAGGCCCATAGCCAGGATTTTGGGGGGTGCTGAGTTTGATGGGGGTGGGGGGTGCTGAGTTTGATTCAAAGGGGGGAGGGGACTGAGGATCTACCCTAGCAAACCTTTTGTATCGTTATCCCGATATCCCCAGGCATATGGGAAATATTGAGCATGATGATCAGATCATGATATGAATAAACATAACAGTTTAAATAATGTACCAGTAAGGCCTTCTTGTCCCACCGCCTTCGCAATCGCGTTTGGTGGGGACGAGGGACAGGGCCTTTTCGGTGGTGGCCCCTCAGCTTTGGAACTCCCTCCCGATGGAGATTAGATCTGCCTCTTCCCTCCTGACGTTTAGAAAGCAGGTAAAAACATGGCTTTGGGATACTGCATTCGCAGAATGATGACTGAGTCAATAACTGCTGACCTTTCTGTGGATGGCGATGAATTTGTGATTCTTTTGGACGAACTGATTTTTGCTGTAATTTGTATGAATTGTATGAAGTGTATTTTAATGTATTTTATATTGATGACCTATAATGTTTTTCTTATTGTATTGAATTTTATGTTGTTAGCCGGCCTGAGTCCCTCCCCGGAGGTGAGAAGGCCTTCCCACGGACCACCCTGAGAATTTCGGGGGAGGGGGGCTGAAGCCCCTCAAGCCCCCCCCCCCCCCCCCGGCTTCATGCCTGCCCCTGGCTTTCCATGGCTCCTTCACCTTGGTCAGTTAGGCACCGTGTGCAAGCAAGTTTGGACTGCTTTGGAATTAAGTTTATTTCTCCTGAAGCATGTTCCTACCCCATGTTTTGCAAGTTAATGTGCCAGGGTAGAGTTTGGGGCTTGCTTTGAGGCCACAACATTTTGTAAAAGGCTGGCACTTGTTTCAAACTTTGGAAGAATTTTGCCCAGCGTGGAAGGAGGAGGCGGGGAGGGGCTCCCCCACGTTCACAGCAGGAARGGGCAATGGGAGGGGTGGCGGGGAGYCCCCCACTGGGGGACACGCGGGAGCAGCGCGAGCCAAGGGCACATCCGGGCCTCCCAAGCACTTTGCTTGCCCCCCATCCCCGCGAAGCCCCGCCCCCCTCAGGCCCCTCAGACTCACCGAGCGGTACCCCTCGCAGTCCATGGCGCGGAAGGATAGGAGGAAGAGTGCCCGCCCGCCACCTTGCCTTGCCTTGCCCTGCCCTGGCTTCGGAAGGAGSCGCGGGCGGAAACGGGGCGGGCCAGGAAGCGCCTCTGGAAAGTCCCTAGAAACCCAGCGGAGACGGAGAGGGAGGGGAGAGGGAAGGGAAGGAAGGCAGGAAGGGCACGCCTCTCTTCCCTCACAACTCTGTCAGGCCACAGGGAGGGAGGGAGGGAAGGAGGGCGACAAGGCCCCCAGCCACACCACCTTGAGGGGAGCTCCCAGCGTGGCCCCCTCGCGACCGACACTTCGCCACGCCCCTTTCCCTCCCTCGCGCAGGGCTTCCTCGCAATCAGCTGACTACCCGGATGGAGGAAGCGGGGCCTCCGCCGTGACAGCAGAGAGGGGGCGGGCACAGGTTTCCCAGGCAACGGAAGGCGCGCGCCCTCCTCTTCCCCCTCCCTCCCTCCCTCCCTCCCTCCTCCTCCTTCTCAGCCTGAAAAGCAGGGAAGTCAATCTAGGGGCCCTTCTACACAGGCCTATATCCCAGAATATCAAGGCAGGAAATCCCACAGTATCTGCTTTGAACTGGGTTATCTGAGTCCACACATAGATAATATGGGATATCCCGCCTTGATATTCTGGGATATAGGCCTGTGTAGAAGGGCCCTGAGTCCACACTCAGATAATATGGGATTTCCTGCCTTGATATTCTGGGATATTACTTACTTACTTAGGCGATCCCTCGTTTTCCGAGGATGATTGTCTTCCAATGTTCTTGTGGGTCCGTTTGTGGCTGTGGAGCCCTATTCTTTCTCTGCATCTTCTTCCACAGTGAGGGCATTGGTTTCCAGGTGGAAGGCGGTCTCGGTCGGGGTTGGCTTGGCACACCTTCCTCTTGGCACGCTTCTCCCTTTCGCCCTCCATTCGTGCCTCTTCAAATTCTGCAGCACTGCTGGTCACAGCTGACCTCCAGCTGGAGCGGTCAAGGGCCAGGGCTTCCCAGTTCTCAGTGTCTATGCCAGAGTTTTTAAGGTTGGCTTTGCGCCCATCTTTGAATCTCTTTTCCTGTCCACCAACATTTTGTTTTCCCTTCTTGAGTTCCGAGTAGAGCAACTGCTTTGGGAGACAGTGGTCGGGCATCTGGGATATAGGCCTGTGTAGAAGGGTCCTGAGTCCGCACTCAGATAATACGGGATTTCCTGCCTTGATATTCTGGGATATAGGCCTGTGTGGAAGGGCCCTGAGTCCACACTCAGATAATATGGGATTTCCTGCCTTCTTGATATTCTGGAATACAGGCCTGTTTGGAAGGGCCCTGAGTCTGCACGCTGATAATATGGGATTTCCTGCCTTGATTTTCTGGGATATAGGCCTGTGTGGAAGGGCTCTGAGGCAGGAGGTCACTGGGCAAGAAGAAAGGAACACATGCACCCATTCATGTAAGCATGTTTATATATTACAAGGGGTATTTTTTAAGTAAGGTCCGTTTGAACATAAGTACAAAACGAAAGTTTATTTCAAAAAAGTAAATTTATTTTCAGAAAGTACATACTTCACTCTATTTTTCGACATAGTTGCCAAGTTTGTTCAAACACTTATCATACCTCTGAACCAATTTTAAAATACCCTCTTCATAAAAACTTGCCGCCTGCTCCGATAACCAAATCGTCTGTAATCAAAGAAGGGCGACCGGAGCAGCCCTCATCATGGACGTTGTCACGGCCATCTTTGAATTGTCGTACCCACTTACGCACTTTGCTTTCACTCAACAGTATCACCGTACACTTCACAAATCTGTCGATGAATTTCTGCAGCAGGCAGGTTCCTTGCTGACAAAAACCGTATCACTGAGCGAACCTCACATGCGGAGGGTGAGTTGATAGTCTTAAACATTTTTAAAGCACAGAACAGAACCGTACAGGTTAGCTACAGAGCGGAAACTGAGCACAGTTGTTCCCGAGGCATGCCGGTACATGACGCATGCGCTCGTTGCAGTATGCGCACAAACTACTAGTGTCTACAACAAAACGGACCTTACTTTAAAAAATACCCCTCGTACATGTATAAACTATTCAGAACAGTCCTCTCTAAAGCATGTACAGGCAGTTACAGACATGCAATGGCTCCTAGTTAAGAATGGGGATGAGTGTTAGGGATTCCTCATCTTTGGAAGAGGAAGGGAAGCAGGGAAGTGCTCAGGAATTGGAGGGAGAAGAAGAATCAGACAATGAGATTTTGAAAGTGTCCACATTTCTAAAGTGTCCACATTTCTAGAGAGACAAAAAGAGACAGAGCACAGCTAGAATAGCTGCTTAAAATGCTGAGCTAATTGGGAGACGCCCTAGCACCTCCTGCATGGGCTATAAATCAGAAGCAGGAGCAGTCAGCTTTTGCTAGTAACAATGATCCTGATACTGATGTTTTCACTCCAATGGAACCTGCTTTGTGTCTGCTGCTCTGGACTTGGTAATCATTGCCTTTTGTCTGAAGGAAGACTGCTGTTTCTTTTGGGACTTTGTAAGAGACTTTAATTTGTGTCTGGATTAAGACGTGCTTTCTTTTGCACTATTCAATTTGCTTATCCTTTGTGTCTGCTGAAGTAAAGCATTTTTCTTTTACTTTCAATATTGTATAAAGCCTGTTTTTGAAGGACAACTCAGGACAGATTGTTACCAGCCCTAAATTTTTACAGCTTTAACCTTTCAGCCAACCATAAATCTGTCTGACCATGGAGGAGGTCGAAGATTTAAAACAACAAGTGGCTGCTTTAAAGTTAACTGTGGAGGAGTTGCAGGGGGTGCTAGGGCATCTCCCAATTAGCTCAGCGTTTTTAGCAGCTATTCTAGCTCAACGTCGTCTGTGCTCTGTCTCTTTTCGTCTTTCTAGAAATGTGGGCACTTTCAAAACCTCATCGTCCGATTCGTCTTCTCCCTCCAATTCCTGAGCACTTCCCTGCTCCCCTTCCTCTTCCAAAGATGAGGAATCCCTAACAATGAGACAACAAGGAAGTGAGAGGAAATCTACCTCTAGAAAGGAAAAATTAATTTCTCGAAAAGTTATCATGGGGAAAAGGTGTCTCCACTGAAGCTTTCTCGCCAATCTTTATTTCCACACAAGCCAATTAAAAAAAATCAAATTATCACAGGTGTTTGTTTTTCTATATGTGTCCCTGTTCAGGGGAAATCTGAACAGGGACACAGACAGAAAAACAAACACAAGAGTGTTAACCCTTCCCTATACTATCCAAAGCTTGTATACACACACACAGTGGTGTAACTGCGTGTGTGAGTGGGTGGGTGTATAGCTGGTGTTACACTTAAAAATGGAACTTGGGGACTGCCTGTATATGCCAGTTTAATTCAAAGCAAGGTCAAACACGGAGTGACATCCCAGAGCAAGCCTGTGAGCTCTCCATCATCACACCAAGTCCTTTTGCACCTCTTTATGTTGGAAATGACAACCTTCTTCAAGCCTTCTCTAGTAATGTTTATCTATGACCCTGTTGCTGTTTCCTGTATGTTCTGGCATGCAGCTTCCATCATGGTTCCTGAGAAGTTACAAAAGGAGCTGACAGAACACATACATTTTCTTCTCTCTCCTTTTGATTATGTTGATAGCGGTTTTGTTGTAAGAGATGTTGTGGATGACACAGAGAATTGTCTCAAACACACCTGAAACTGGCCTGATAAGTTTTGTACCTGTGTATGCTGGACACATGAAGGTTGTGAGTAAACCAAGTATGTTATTTTTTTTTATCAAAGTCTACTTTGTTTTTGTCTCTTGAGTGCATGGTAGAAAACAAGTTGTTTTATGAGAGTCTATATGGGAGGAGGGGGACAATTTTGGAGACCAGCAAAAGATTCATAATTGTCTAGGAGCCGCCAGTGGCACAATGGGTTCAATCCTTGTGCCAGCAGGACTGCTGACTGAAAGGTCGGTGGTTCAAATCCAGGGAGCAGTGTGAGCTCCCGTCTGTCAGCTCCAGCTTCTCATGCAGGGACATGAGAGAAGCCTTCCATGGGATAGTAAAACATCTGGGCATCCCCTGGGCAACGTCCTTGCAGACGGTCAATCTCTCACACCAGAAGCGACTTGCAGTTTCTCAAGTCACTCCTGGCACACCACAAGTCACTCCTCTCACCACACACAGTGTGGTGAGAGGTTGCGTGCCGCTCTATATTGTGAATCGTATTCTAAAGTGTAGTCTGAGTTCCTATCTGTATACAAGAATGTAGAATTCATTTTTTAATTTACACACATGCTTACCTATTTCCTTTCCTAAAGATCGTTTCTGCCTCTGCTATTTCTCATCCTAAGTGCCTAAACAATCCTAATTCAGTTTATCAGTAGCTGTTATACCATTCTCAAAGGACAAACATTGGCGCATTTGTCAGGCAACCCTATTTTGCATATTTTAAAGTAAAGCTTGGCAATCAAGTTAAGTCTTGGGCTCCTCACAAGGTGTGCAAGCAGCATGTCAAGTGTTGACAGATGTAGATGAAAGAACACGTCATAAATTGCTATTTGGTATACCTATGGTTTGATGACAGCCCAGAGATCAGTCAAGTGATTGTTACTTTTGTAAAGTGAAAAGCCAGGATATATTGGAATTTGATCAGCATGAGTTGAATAATTTTGTATGTGATTTGGGGCTATTCAAAACAGCATATGATGGCTGACTATTGTTGGAGCGTCAGGCGAGATTATCCACAGATTAAACATTCCAGGAAATTCTTTACCTTAATAATGCAGGTTTGGTAGAACTTTATTTACTTGTACACAATTTGACTTACAGTAACAATATATAGCCTTTGTGTGAATAAAATAACTCTAAATAAACAGTATATTCAAATAATCTTTATTTTCCTTTGTATGTACATTTTGTATGATTTTTGGGACAAAGAGTGGGTATCCTGTACCTTAAAAAATTAACGTGATAGAAAAAAACTGTGGTTATTTTTGGATTAAGATGCCAAAGTTGGTCAAAAACAAGTGTTAGGTCTAACTCAATGAAAATTGTTTCCCATTTAACAAGAGATTTGGTATAATTAGTTCACTTTGATCAGGTGCCCTTCCACACAGCCCTATATCCCAGAATATCAAGAGAGAAAATCCCACATTATCTGAGTGTAGACTCAAATAACCCAGTTAAAAGCAGATATTGTGGGATTTCCTGCCTTGATGTTCTGGGATATAGAGCTGTGTGGAAGGGCCCCTTGTCTCAAGATACTTTAGTACTGACATTGACAGGGCTACTAAGAATGTAAAGCTTCTTCTTCATGGTCTCTGTGACTCTGTGGTATAAAACATGCTTACGCACTGGGGTTTATGGCCTCTGTGGCAACCTTTAAAAAGTGTCTTATGCAGGTCTAAAAATCCCAAATGAGACTGTTACTCTTTATGACTTCATCCCACAAAAGGGTGGCAGGAAGCGTGTGGAATTGTCTTTGTGTGGCGTTTCATGGGGTTCCGTCTTTAAAGAAGATGGAGAATTTACTTACCTCCGTCACACAGGATCACCTCCTTAGCTCAACCATTTCAAGGATACCAGTGCGTTTTTAAAAACAGGCATTCTTTCTGAAACACCACTTTCCATGGGATCATTCTCCTTAAACCTCTACACTAAAGGAGACATGCACTTTAAAAACCACTTTGTGAATGGGACCCACACCATCTTGAAACCACTAATGGAAACAGAAGCATTACCAGACCGCTCACATTGAAGGGAGAGGTTGACTCACACTGAAATATAACTGAAAAAATCCACTACTTCCCATCCCTAAGAAAAATCCCTGTTTTGAAGTGTTTCTGTTCACAAGAAAAGGAGAGGAGTCGATTTTTGCTCATCTTTGAAATTATCTTTCTACATGCTTCGGAGATGGAGTGCCATGAGGAACCACGGGAAGCAGTCCTGCATTGTTTGATGGGCTCCATGGGAGTCAGTCTTTGAAGTGTGTAGAAACAGGAAGAAACAGAAAAAAAAAACCTTCATATATGAGGTCCTTTGTGTCTTTTCTGTCTGGGAGATGTTTTACTCCTCAGGCCAAGCAGAACAAAGCATCGAGTCTGAAAGCTCTATTCTATGAAAATGTCCTAAGAGCTACTCCTACATCGGCGAAGTCTGGGCTCAGACCTATGATACATACCTTTATAACAGTGGTTCTCAACCTGGGGTCCCCAGATGTTTTTGGCCTTCAACTCCCAGAAATCCTAACAGCTGGTAAACTGGCTGGGATTTCTGGGAGTTGCAGGCCAAAAACATCTGGAGACCCCAGGTTGAGAACTACTGCTTTACAACATCATTTAGTGCTTCATGGACTGCAAGTGTTTCTGGTTCTTATGCAAAATAGATCAAAGTGCAAGTACAATCACTCAAATACAAATCATGTTATGATACGGAAGACAGCTTGAATCCTCTTCTTCTCAATTCCATTCTCTGGTTGACTCCAAACAGTTCTCTCATGGGAAGGTAGGAGAGAACACAGAAGCATCAAGAACTTTCACACAGTTCTCTGAAACAATGAGACTCAGGCATTAACTCGATATGGAGTAATTGGTACCACACTCACTGAGTTAAGCCTCCTTGAAAGACAGTGGAGGCCGTTTCTGCAGGTCCAGTTCCAGAAAGATCTTCCCAACCTTCATTTCTTGGTACGGTTTCAAAGCGTGAGGTATTGGAATTCTCCTCTTGACTACAAAATCTGACTCTTTTTAGTGAGTTTCATCGCACCATTCAGTCTCCTAGACCTATACTTCTCAACCCCATTGCGGAGCCGTACTTTGCAAAATCATACACGTAGTCTAGATTGAGTTCATTCAGCGACTCATTTGGTAGGTTTCAATCTAGATATATTTGCTGCTCTTGACATTCAACATTATATTGTCAAGATATCACAGATTGCACTTCAGATATGGTAATTCTCCCTATTATCACAACAGTTACTCACCTTCTTCACAGTACTTCTACTGCAGAGATTCTGGTCATCCACATAATTATAGAGACTTTAAACATACTTTACATCAGTACCATGAGATAGATGAGTTATACCACAGGAATGGACGGTCGGAAAGTAGAACTTTTAAGACATTGGCTTCTTCAGTTCTTGAGCCGTCTATATTGTCACAGTGGATATCTCAGTCATAGGCTAGAGATTTTGTCTTACTAGAGGGAAAATCTACAATGTTACCTCTTCCACAGTCTCCATCTTAATCTGGGGTTCATCCTTCTACTGTATCCTCTGCTGTTGTCAGCATCTTATCTATTTCAGTGTTTAAGATTGACTACTTCTTCCACTCTGAACAGATTCAGATTTGGAGTCTACATCATCAAACCCACCAGTTTGACAGTCTTTTCCACCTCTTCACTCATGATGTTTGTCGACATCATGCTTTCTGCTTTCCTACGAAATCCCATGGCTGATCTGAAATGCTCTCTCCATTGCTTGAATGCTCCTTTTCGGAAGTCATCAAGATTTTTCCTATGTTGTTGCAACATTTATTGAAATGGATTGCAGCAACAATCAGACTAGCATATGCACTTATTGGCAAGAGAACTTCTGCACAACCAAGAAGCCACCCAACTGGATCAATGGCTATGTCTACTGTCTTTTTACATGGTGTACCTCTAACCTAGTTTCAACCCTTGACTTTTATTTCTTAGTATAGACTAGACACAAGTTTTCAAACCAAGATTGCATTTGGGAGGGCTGTGCTTTTCTTTTGAGTAGAATGAGACTCCTCCTATGGCTACTAGTTTCCCATTTGTATGAGTCGCAGAGATCATGAAGAAGGAAGACAGGTTGCTTAGCTGTAACTGTATTTCCTTAAGCAATCATTTTGTGAACTCACACAACTCCACCCGTACCCCATTGTTGTGTCTTGCCTTTCCTTAGATCATTGGCTGCTGCACTGGAAACCATAAAACTGGGGGGTTAGGCAGGAAACGTCTTGGTTAAACTTGCAGGGGATGTACAGGGTGACCATAATGATTAATAGCTCTAGAAAGTTCTGAAAGATGTGCTGTGCAGGCAACCCATTTGTGTGAATTCACAGATGACCAGCAACTTGTCCTTCTATGTCCATACTCATTCTAAAGACGTGTGCAAGGAAGTATCAAGCAATGCCCTATTTACTCGAATCTAATGTTCACCTTTTTTTGGCCAAAATTAGGGTACGCATTAGATTTGTGTCATATAGTTATCTTAGTACTGAGCCAAAGCAAAAAGGGAAGCTGCTTCAGAAACTGCACCTGGAGCTCCTATTTGAGGGATGTCACCTCAAATTTAATTGCTATGGCTCCACGCCATGCAATTCTGGGATCTGTAGTTTGGTGAGGCATCAGCATTCTTTGGCAGAGAAAACCCAAGACCTTGTCAAACAACTTGATTTCGTAACAGTTAAAGTGGATTCATTCTACAGCACAGATGCACCCCAAGTTTTTCTTTTCAATTGCTAGAAGCTTTTGTGTTCTAACACTTGTTTTTAAAGAAGGAATTCTAAGCAGGCAGCCACTGTAATGCATACCTTTTTGACCAAATTGCAAAGAGTGCACTTTTTGCCACTACACATTACATTTGGCAGCCAATTCTTTTTTGTTTCAGTGTTTTGTAAACTGAGGTGTGCATTAGATTCAATGGTGCATTAGACTTGAGTAAACAGGCACTCCAAAATGCCTATTTTGTAATAACAAACTACTCAGATTTATTTCTTTCACTACCAGAAACATAGGACATTAGGAAAAACTTCCTGACTGTGAGAGCTGTTCAGCAGTGGAACTCTCTGCCCCGGAGTGTGGTGGAGGCTCCTTCTTTGGAAGCTTTTAAAGAGAGGCTGAATGGCCATCTGTCAGGGGTGCTTTGAATGCAATATTCCTGCTTCTTGGCAGGGGGTTGGACTGGATGGCCCATGAGGTCTCTTCCAACTCTATGATTCTATGATCATCACCCCCATACAGTTGTCTTCCCATGCCAGAGATGATGCTGGAGAAGCCAACAAACAACATGGCTACTTACCATGCTTATACATTTGTAATAACCATGAAAAATATCACACATCCCGTGAAGCAGCTTCTAGGAACTTTTGAAAATTATCAAGTTGAGAATTCATTATAGTAAGGCTTATATCTTTGGGTATTTCACTGTATCTTCTATTTCTACATCTTTGCAGCAAAAAAAAAAAAAAACCCCTCCCACCAAAATAATAATAACAACATAAAAAGCAGACCTGAGAAATCCCGCTTGAAAAACCACAAAAGGCACAAAAATATCCACTTTGGGATTAGAAGCGCAGAGTTCAGAACCAATGAATTCCTGAACAAAATACTGTTGAATGTGTCAAAGGCACTTCAATATGTAGTAAAATACTGAATGAAGCATGACCTGGTTTGTTCATAAGGCGAGAGTTCCGAAACTGAGCTTTGTTGATCTGGCTACAGCAGATTTGCCTTCTTATCTCTGTAGTCCTTCTACTTCCTGGGAAAGAAGGCGTGCTCATTGGTATCTGGAACTTGTTGCAGCTTTGAAGTATTCTGAGCAGGTGGGGACAGCGGGACTGAAGAGGAAGGAAAAGCTTAGAAAAATAACCTCTGCTGAACTCTTTGGAGGCACCAGCTTTTTGTAGCACCTTGAACAGGGATGGGATGGCACCTCTAAGAACAGCTATGAAGAAGGTATGTGTTTCCCAGGCCTCCTCCTACACATGGAAGAGTCAGCACCACAGCTGTCAACCTGTACTGCAGAGGATTCTTCCAATGGAACTAAAGTGCTGCAGCTGAAATTGAGAGCGTTCTGAGGATAAAAGCAAGATTTAGCCCCAAAGCTACCTGACACTAACTCCACAAGTGGGCCACTTTCAAGAAGCAATGTCTGGTTAAGCCTATATTCATTATTGCTTAGTACTAATTCATTCAGGAGAAGACTAAACTGGACTAAACTGACAAAAGTTAACTCACTTTTGGTTGTAAAAAATTAAGGCCACAAGAAAGGAAAAGACTCCCATCCCCCTTTTAGTAACTGACACCTGACAGTAATATGGGTCCCAAAGTCCCTGGTGAATGTCAGGCCACTTGATGGGGATGCTATAGCCCTATGGCTGCAATGGAATGTTTCTGCTACCCAGCTCCTACCCAGCAAGGTCTTCACCACCCAAGTTTCTGGATGGAGATGCTGGAATCAGAGCACGCCCTTTACTATTAAAGGTAAAGGTTTCCCCTGACATTAAGTCCAGTCGTGTCTGACTCTGTGGGGTGGTGTTCAAGCCGAAGAGCCGGCGTTGTCTGTAGACGCCTCCAAGGTCATGTGGCCAGCATGACTTCATGGACCACCATTACCTTCCCGCCAAAGCGGTACTTATTGATCTACTCACATTTGCATGTTTTCAAACTGCTAGGTTGGCAGGAGCTGGGCCTAACAGTGGGAGCTCACCCCCGCTCCCCTGATTCAAACCACCAACCTTTTGGTCAGCAAGTTCAGCAGCTCAGTGGTTTAACCCACTGCACCACCAGGGGGGCCATCCTCTACTATTAGGATATATTATATCCCCAATACCAAGTCATCAAATGACAAGCGATAGTCTACCCAGACTATTTAGTATTGCCACTTTCCATTCTTTTGTGTGGGAGGTATTGGAGTACAACAAGGCTTTGATGCAAGAGCAAGAAAATCTTGCTACCTAAAGGCCACTGGTGGGACATGATATCTGAGTGTGCTTATAACAGTGAATGTCCATGTCACCGTTAGTGTAGCACATAAACAAAATAAAGAAGTGATCTGATGCTAAGGCATGATCCAAAATAATGTTGTCTTTTGAGGTGAGGTCCCCTTTTGATTGCTCAGCATCCCAGTATGCACAGTTTGTCCTGGCGTCTTGTGGGAGCTTTTGTGCACACAAGGAATCGTCCTCCAGGAGCCATTCTACATCATGGCCAAGTTCTCCAAGTGACTGTGCAGGTGTGACATGCTTGGAGTGCTGCTGTCCACTTTGTAGCTTTTAGAAGTCCGCCTGGCTTTCAGGAGAACCAGGAAGGTGTCTGTGGAAATGGCTCCAAATTCAGCAGTAAAGGTGCCATAGAAAACGAGCACATTTATTATAAACATCCACTCACAGAGAGCAGCCAAGTGTTGAAGAACAAAGCTCTGCTGGATAAAAAATACACCACCTGGGGGTAGCATAGTCAAGGCAAACAAGATCAAAAGGCAGATGCAGAAAAAGCAGAAGCAACAAGGCAAACAGGCAAAACAAACACATTGTATGTAGCCCTGGGTGACTCTTCTCAACTACAACTTGATTTCAGCTTGGCAACTCTTTCCAGCTTTGAGGATCAGGTTTAAGAAATGCAGCCCCATCCAGGAACTTACAAAATTAGCATACTCATTCACGATAGCCCTGTTTTACATTTCAAGCCCAGTAATTTAAGGTCGGGAGACATTCTTGGACTATAACAAAATTGTAAACTGGGGAAATTAATGGTCTAAATCTCTTATTTCTCACTTTAAAGGAATTACAAATTATTTGTGGGGGAATTAATATACCTCCCCTTATGAAATTCCCTAACAATGTGATATAAAGAGGAATTTCGACATTTTTAGGGGCAAAAATGAAAAACAAGCATGCCCTTGCTTTTATTTGCAACATACTATGTTAAAAACAAAACTGGCTGAAAATGCAAATATTCCTATCTAATGAAATGTTTTAATTTTTATCTGAAAGGACAGTTCTCTTTCTTGCAACTCAGAATTAGCCATTTCTCTATCTGACAAATAAGAAATACACATTCACCCTAATGACTCATTAGGCCAGAGGTTTTTAACCTGTGGGCTGCGGACCACCAGTAGGCTGCGAGGACGAAAATCTGGTCTGCGAGTCTCCTCCCTCTTTATTTATTTTATTTTATTTCCACTCCTTTTGCGCTGCCTAACACTCTTTCCCTGTCGCTGATCAGCCCTGCCCCCTTGGATAGACCACATCAGCTCTAGATTATTTATTTATTTATTTACAACATTTATATGCTGCCCTTCTCACCTTTTATATCAAATTATCAAATATGGTTTTCTGTGAGCGAACAGATGGCCACTACCGGATGGCATATGTTCTGCATCAGAAACTACAGCTGATGTGGTCTATCCAATGCAATTTTCTGAATCAGCAGCCCAAATAACCAAACCAAATCTAAAACTGACCAAAAACTGATTTGTAACCCTTTTGGTACTAATATTGGAGAGTGGACCCTGGTCAAAATGGTCCCTGGTCAAATAAAGGTTGGTAACCACTGCTTTAGGCTGAAGGAAGGTGACAAACCTAAGCTAAGCACTATAACAATAACATCAATGTTATCTACACTGTTTTCTATTGCAAAGGCCCACTTACAATATCTGGCCATACTTGCACAGAAGAGTACACGGAAAGCACCCATATCATGCATATGGGAAACAAAGTCTAATCTATTATTTTGAAAAGAATGAAGACTAGGAGAGTTATAAACACATATCTGAATTTACTTGCTGCATTACATATTCATTTGAGGAATTTAATGCCTTAATTCACACTTAAGTCTCCTTCCTCACCTTATTCAGTCAAGGACAGTGTAATCTGATGTCAAACTAGAAAGACTCTCCCCCACCCCCATTGTTGCAAACATTCAAGGAAGCTAGCCAGTCAGGCTCACATACACATATATTGTTTCTATGTCCATAAGAGAAGAAATCCTACATTCTAGAGTCTGTTCAGGAAACTGTATCACCCCACCCCTCGAGCTCAAAATGGGTTTTGCACACGTCATCTTCATGGACTATCAGAGGCATGGATATTGAATACATGGGCATAGAGCTCAGACTACATGGACTGATGGGAATACCACACAGAAACCAAAACTGACTCTGTCCCAGAATCAAGCCAAAAGACTAATTAAAATAAATCTAGATAATCTGCCTCATTCAGAACTCCCCCATATGCTCTGGTACTTTGCCCAAAAATAGAATATTTGAGAATTCCCAATGGTACATGCTAAAAAGCTTCAGTATCTATATTTATATTGTACACATGCAACTCAGTCTCTGGCCTGTTTGTACAAAATTAATTTCCACTGAATTCACCATGATTTATACTCAAGTAAGGGTCCTATTTTTATTTATTTACCATATTTATACCCTGCCCTTCCCAACCCTGAAGGGGACTCAAGGCAGCTTACATATAGGCAACTATTCAATACTTTGACAACATACAATTAAAATAAATATTTAAATTAAGATTAAAATTAATACAAATTAAAACAGTTAAAAACATTACATCCATTATTAAAACCATGCCAGGCAGATCCTAGGCAGATCTTTTCCCAACTGTTCCAGATTGCCTAGCAAAATTCAATTTAATTAAATTTCATCCATCAACCTTACTTTTCTCTAGACTCCCTTATTTTTCCCAAGCCATAATGCTGCAGGAAGGATACTAAAGATGAGGGTGATGAATGCCAAGGCTGCAAGGATGCTGCGTAGGTGGCCAGTCCAGTAATGGCCTCTGGATGTTGCCATGCGATAAGTCAGAATCGACTGAACGAGTAAAAAGAGCATGCTGGTTGGGAATGCCACTCCTGCCCCGATGTAATGCAGCACTTTTGCATGGTCTACCTGCAAATAAGAAAAACAGGCCTGCTGAGGAATCCAAAATAACCAGTCAGGACAAAGGCTTCCCAGTCTCAGCCCAGTCTACTCTTTCAAACAGCACAGGAGGGACAGCGTGCTCAGACAGCCATGTATTTATTTATTCATTTGCCACATTTATACCCCACCCTTCTCACCCCAAAGGGGACTCAGAGTGGGTTACATATAAGGCACAATTTGATGCCACACAATTATACATCAGACAAAATAAACAACGCATTAAAACAAAGCACTAAACCATATCAAACATTAACACCACTTATTAAAATCACGCAATCAAACACCATAGCAAAGGCCATTCCTATTGTCATGGCACTATTGTATTTCCAAGGCCTTTCAGATGCTCAACGGTATACCATTACTGTTACGTGCTCCTTATGGGGTCGGTTTGCTCTCTCCCTATATCTCAATGTACATCTGTGTCCCAAAGAGGGAGAGGCAACAGAGATTTAAATTTCATCTAAATGCATACTACCTAGATTACCATTAACATTGACCATACAATGAATGTGATGTTATTGCATTTTCCATTGTGTAATGTGAGGTGTAGAGCTTGGACTGAAAACTATGAGAATCTTTATATTTACAGTTCAAATGTTAACTTCAGCGCATTTGCAAATCTCTGGAGCAGGGGAAATTGAAGGATGCCAGGAAAAGCAACATCTTCTCTTCACATTAGTTAGGACACAGTGAATGTTGGAAATCTGAAGAGTGGAGATGCAATTGTCTGCTTCTGGCCAGGGCCTGGTTATCAGTAGCTACAGTCTGCTGTAACTCACAGTAACTCACAAGGCTAAGAGCAGCTTGCTGCCATGAGGTTTATAGGGCTGATCCAATTTTGCAATTGAACAAGTATCACTCTATCTCCATGAAGCACTGCCAGAGCCAGGAAGAGAAAACCAGACACTCCAAGAAAGCAACAGCTGCCCAAACACTAAAAAAACAAAGCCCCTTTCCTCTGGCATCTCCTCATTCAGACACAGCAATAATTCAAAGCATGGCTGCTAATAAAGGGAAAGCAAACACAATCATGACTCTTTTGCCCGGCTCCTCTGGGTTTCCCAGTTCGCTTGGCCAAGCATTCTGAACTCTATGGAAGGAGATGGAGGGGGCGCAGAAACCTCAAGGTCAGTCATCAGGTGCTTAGCAACGTTCTGAGGCCCAGAGACTGATGGAGGCCAAGGCTAGAGCAGAGATTAACACAACCGATTGAAACACCTCCAGGAATAGAGCTGGGTGGTGGATGAGGGCATTGCCTGCCTCCAAGTAAGAATTCCCCCCTCCAAAATGAAATTTGATTCTGTCCCATTTTTTTTTTAGAATTGCAGAGTGGAACACTGAAAATGATTTGCACCTATTTGTTTTATACCCATTCCTTTCACCTGTCTATTTTTCATATCCTCAATCTTTTTTGATTCTCTGTCCTCCCACATTTTCAGCTGCACTCAATTAACTGGTGGGAGGGAGGAGGGGCAGGGTCTTGAATCTTGCCCTTCCTCAGTGGCATTGGCCAAAGCAAACTTTGGTAGTGTCACTTAACTTGCCTTCTCTTCATCACTGACAACAACTTGCATTTTGACCACAATCTGTCCACGAGCCTCCCAGTTTTCACCTAAGAAATGTTGGGAGGATGTGCTTTTCTTTGGATGTGCAAATTTTATTTCTAAATGCCCCAATGAAATGGTAAGCTATTAAAAGGCTAGAAATTTGGGGCGTGAAGGAAGAGTTCATGGGGGCAGCGAAGGGCATTTTTTTATTCGGAACAGCAATTTGCTCTTTCCATACATAGCTACCCTCCCAACACTAAGCACATGACACACCTTCCCCTACCACAAGTCTTTATTATCTACTACAAGCTGAGTATCCCTTATCTGAAATAAATAGGACAAGAAGGAAGTGTTTTAGATTTTGGATTTTTTTCCAGATTTCAGAATGTTTTCATATTTGTGAAAATGCATCCCAAGCCTAAAAACAAAATGTATGTATGCATTGCCCTGTCCACCCTGGGTTCAGGACACCTGCTCCACTGCCTGTCACCATTGGCCTATGCTGACTTGAGCTCATTGGAGGAAAAAGTGAGATAGAAATGTTAATCAATGCAATAAATATCATGCCATCCATTTAAGCATTCACATACCCAAACAGTCAAGTACCTCTTGGTGTATTAGAATTAAATCGAGCATACTAGGGAATCTTGTTTTCCAAAGCTCTTTGAATTTTAGTTTAATGTTGTTTTAGAATCTTGTATATTTTGTTGCGGTGGCACAATGAGTTAAACCCTTGTGCTGGCTGAACTACTGATTTGAAGGTTGGCGGTTTGAATCCACAAGACGAGGTGAGCTCCTGTCTGTCAGCTCTAGCTTCACAGAATCATAGAATTGGAAGAGACCTCGTGGGCCATCCAGTCCAACCAAGATTTTCCTGCCAAGAAACAGGAAAACTGCATTCAAAGTTTCTCTTGCGGGGACATGAAAAAGCCTCCCACAGGATGTTAAAACATCTGGGTGTCCCCTGGGCAACATCCTTGCAGATGACCAATTCTCTCACACCAAAAGTCACTTGCAGTTTGTCAAGTCACTTCTGACACGATAAAAAGTATATTTTGTTTACATGAATTATGCAATTTACTTTATATTATACTACAGTTTTAATATTTTATTTGGATTATTTCTTTTTCAATAGTATTGTATAGTTTTATATTGTATTATTCCTCTCTGTGTATGAACACGTATTTTAGAGTGTACATCTTTGGAAGGACCCCTTGTTTTTGGTTGTCTTACTTATAAAGCACCATGTACATTGATGGTACTATATAAATAAATAAATGACAAGAACAGAAGCAGGAGGAATGTGATGCTCTCCCTTCAGACTCTAATGGGTTTCTTTCCTGTGACTTTATATGCAGGGAGACGCTGACTTACCTGGAAGTTGCCAACCATAATGAGGCCAGCTGCACAGATCCAGCCTGTAGCTAACCCCAAGGTGTTGAGAAGGGAAGGGCCATAATGTTCCATGACATGAGCATATCTTAGCAGGCCAACCAGCACCACTAGAAAAAGGAAACAGTAGACAGCATTAGATGTTGATCTTTACCTACACCAGTGGTTCCCAATCTGTGTTCCATGGACCACCAGTGGTCCTTAAGAACGAAAATATGGTCCATGGCCTTACCATTACTACACTATTTCCTCAAAACCACAAAAGTGACTAGTCTCACTAAACCCTCTTATAGTGCTGAGGCAACAGGGATGTCAGGAGGGGAGAGGCTGATTGCCCATAAAATATTACTACTACCACATCAGCTCTGGATTATTAAATATGGTTTTCTTTGGGTGAGCAGATGATGATTGCTGGATGGCATGTGTTCTGTATCAGAAACTAGAGCTAATGTGGTCTATCCAGTGCAATTTTCTGAATCAGCACTCCAAATAACCAAACCGAATCTAAAGTTAACCAAAAACTGATTTGTAACCCTCTTGGAACTAATGTTGGAGAGTGGTTCCTGTTCATAGTGGTCCCTGGTCAAGTGGTCCTTGGTCAAAAAAGGTGGGGAACTAGTGACCTACACAGTGAACATGAACTTCCTATTGCATCATCATCAGAAATAAGGAGAAGGGCAAGAATAGGAAAGGCACACAAATGGGTTCTCACTCCTCATGCCAAATGAATGTGAAACCACCAAGGCCAGGAAGGAGATAACCACTAAGGCTGTGGGGTGGGTTATAGTTAAACAAATAGCAAATCCTCCAACTTCACACCTGTAATTTTATATGTTTAAAACAAGAAACCAATGTCCACCCTCTGTTTTGAGTCTAAAAACATGCAAGTAGTAACATCTAACACCTCCACCCTCATGAGAACAGATGTAATGACAGGTTATACACTAGCTTTCCCTCCTTCACAGCCTTCTCTGACATTTTCCTACCTAGATGGGTCAGGCCTTTTTCATCCTGTATTTTGCTTTTTGACACCTCATCTCTTCTTACAGACACACCAACAAAACTCCACATTTTCAGGTGGATTTGGTTGGGGGAACAGACTCACCCATGAAGGAGCCCAGGCTGCAGATCAGACTGAAGAAGCAGCTCTCTGGTGGGAAGGTACCACACTTGCTGTGGAGAAAGATATGAAGACATCAGATGTTCTGATCAGAAACAGAACATCTGGAGGTATTTGTATACTAGACTTCTACATGAAACTAAAGCTGTTTGCGTTATGCTTCCCAAGCTGTGTAGTTTGTGTTATACTTTTTATTGTGTCTCTGTGTGAAAAGCATACATATACAGCATGACAGAAAGTTTTAGGGATCTGCCTAATTCCACCTTGGTGCATTAGGCAGGAATATCAAACTCGTTTTAATTGAGGTCAGTCTTATGGTTGCCTTCAAAGGCAACCATAAAGGCCAATGATACTTCAAAGGCCAATGATACTTTTTTTACATAGTGGTTGGTGCTCTTCAATTTTTACCACAAACGTTATTGAAGGACATCTCTCCCATGACTTCTGATTACACTGTGTAACACGATTTTTGTTCCTGGGATATAAATGTTATTTCATAATTGGTTCTATCATGAAAAATAAATGGAAAAAGTTTATCAACTCGCTTCTGACACAATAAATAAATAACTGCATTTATAGGAAGAATGGGATCCTTCATGAGAATGTCAGAAAGCAAAATGCTGGTTAAGTTGCACAGAGCTCAGTTACCTTGCATGTTAGAATGTTTTATATGGTAATGGATCTTCTTGTAAGAACCTTTCTGAATAAACATTAATTTTTAATGTCCACAGAATTTGAAATTAAAAGTAAAGTCTTGCTTATCCAACCTTTGCTCATTCAATGTTCTGTATTATCCAATACAGTCTGCCTCCCGGATCCACAGCTGTTTCAATACATTGTGATAATTTGGTGCTAAATTTGTAAATAAAGTAATTACTACATAACGTTACTGTGTATTAAACTGCTTTTTCTGTCAATTTGTTGTAAAACATGATGTTTTGGTGCTTAATTTGAAAAATCATAATGTAATTTGACGTTTAATAGGTTTTTCCTTAATCTCTCCTTGTTATCCAACATTTTTGCTTATCCAACGTTCTGCCGGCCCGTTTATGTTGGATAAGTGAGACTCTACTGAATTGAGAAGCATGCAGATTATATAAAATATCTGAAAAGAGAGTTAATTTATTTCAGTCGCTAACATTCGTTGTTTTTGCAGGCAATGATCATGTTTTGTTTGAATCAGACATGACTGGTTGTCAGGGTAGAGGACTCAGAGTCCACATAAAACATATAGATACACATTAGCTTTCTTTCACCTTCAGTGACTTAGTAAATTCCACAAATGTAGAAGATTAAAAGAACAGCAGCCAGGGAGCATAAATCAGAGAGTAGAAGTTCACACTTGGAACATAACTTTTAACATGTAATTCATTACTTATTAATTTTAGGGATGAAAGGCTACTGCTACTCATATTTGAAGAGTGGCACGTTTGCAATGGTTACTCTTTAAAAATGAATAAAAGGTACTTTTCACACCAAAAGAGATTATGTTGAAATGCTTTTTAAAAGCACAGTGGGCCCTCTGCATCTGCTGGGGTTTGGGTCTAGGACGCCTCATGGATACTAAAATCCACAAATGCAAGCCTCATTATATAGATTGGTGACCTGAAATTGTGTCCTTATATAAAAGGACAGATTGAAATTTAGGATTTTTAAATATATATATATATATTAAGTCATGGATGGTTGAATCTGGGGGTGCAGAATCCCTTGATACAGAGGTCCAACTGTAAGCTCATTATGTATGCACATCACCACAAAATTATTGTTTTACACTCAAACTACAACCCATCACTTCCAAAGTATGGTATGCTTTCTGACTGAAGAGTTGGCTATTGCTTCAACTGAATTAATAAATGAATGGCCTGTTTTCAAAAAACATTCTTAGTTTTCTAACCTAATTTAACCATATTCTTGTTCCAGAATTCTTCCTTTACTTACTTTATTTTTTATCCCACCTATGTTCCTGCATGGCAGAGGGTTGGATTGGATAGCCCTTGTGGTCTTTTCCAGTTTTATGATTAGATTTTTTTTTCAAATAAAATAAGCCCGTAGCAATTTGATTTTTGTTTGTCATCAATGGTTTTTTCCCTGCCTTTAACACAGCCATAACAGGATAAGGCATGTTTGGAAATTCATTGCTAAATTACAGTCAGTTCCAACAAACTGGACAGTTGTAGAGATGCCACCTGTGATAAGAAAGAAACAGGCCAGCCACAAAAGCCCCTTCAGGTTGTTGACCAACTCCTCCGCTCATTCCCCCTCCGCCACAAACAGAAGAGGCAGCATTCCTTACCTGACAAGAGGAACATGATCCAGAGTGCAGCAGAAAGGGATATTCCGTTCACAAGATTGGTTATAAATCCTGCAGTGTAAAAAAAACCAAACAAACATTGGGTTTGATGAAGCCTTTGATCTCTAAACAAACAATCTTTAAACTGGTGTTTCACAAGAGAAGATCACTTAAAGTAGTTACCATCCTGTTAAAATGGAAGAGACGAGCCCCAAGTTCCAAAGAAATGAGGGGCGCAGGATCTTGACTAGTTAGTTACATCTTAGCTGCCCTTCCAAAACCTAGTCTTCTGATTTCTTGACTGCACCCCCTATTTTGATTAATAATTGAATAAAGGTATAGAAAATATTGTTGGGTGAGTGGGCTTATTAACAAAAAACCCTCATCATAAATGTACACCAGAGTAACTTTTCAGCAACAGCGTTACCCAGCACCAGTAGCCCAAAGTGATAGAAAGAACAAAAACACACAGACCAATGTTATCTTTTCCATTCGAGGCTTTTTTATACCAAAATAATATGATTGCACTATTTTCAAAAACAAGGCTTCCATAACACAAATAAAGTTCTTTATACTTCCTTCTTTACTTCCATGCTGGGCTTCTTTCTTATGCAGATAAACAGCTTCGCTCTCACAGAGACTCTTCTCACACCGAAGTTACACAGGAGCTTCACACAGTCACTTTTTACACATAGCAGCCTTCACACTGGAGCTTTACATACGAGGCCTTCAGCCTAGAGCTTCTCTCACCGAAGCTTCTCACACCTCTCATACACGGCCTCCTAACTCTGAGGCCTACCTCACACTGGAGCCTCCTCATACTGAAGGGCTCTCTCAGGCTGACGCCTCGCTCACACTGAGGCAAACTAACACTGAGGCCTACTCATACTGAGGCCCTTCTTCCACAGATATCTCTCACAGACTGAGGGCTACTAAGTTACAGGCAACCCATAAAAAAACTACATCTTTTGCTGAGTCATTGCAACCATTTAACCCTTTCAGTGCTTGACTCACATTTTGTAATTAAAAATACCTAGCTGATTTCTAATATTTCTGACAAATATTTCTCTTTCTTAATTCCCTGTCTACTTTAAAGCCAACAATATTACCAGATCCCAATAATTTTAATGTGGAATGTGTGCAAAATGGGTATAAGATTTTGATCCTTGGATGGCATGTTTTAATATTGAATATATTTTAATTATGTTTATTATGTCCGTAATTTTAATCTAAGTTATTTTTAAGTGAATGTTGTATGTTTTGAGGCACTGCATAGGTGCCACTTGTAAGCCGCCTTGAGTCCCCCTCGGGGGGGGGGGGKAGATAAAGGCAGGACATAAACATGGTAAATAAATAAATAAATAAATAAGAGATCATACAAAGAGAAGGAATACAAAGAGTGGCCCCAACAGTCAGAAATTGACCTGCTGCCGACATTGTCTCCTGATTAAATCTGGGCATTGAAACCTCTGGTTTTTGCATTGGTTATGGTCTCCATTCTTCTAAACCAGCCAGGAGGCACAGCAAATTCCTGAAGAACCAAATTCGTGTAAACCATGTTCACAATATTATTGTTCATAATTTGTTCCAATCTATCCTAGTCACAGAATTTTGGATTCCTTGGCCCAGTATTTGAGATTTTAGCCCTCTTGTCACAGTTGTACATACAGTTATAGCAGTGGTTCTTAACCTGTGGGCTGCAGACCACCAGTGGGCCACGAGGATGACAATCTGGTCTGCAAGCCTCCTTTCTCTTTATTTTATTTTATTTATTTCAGCTCCTTTTGCGCTGCCTGCCACTCCTTCCCTCTTGTTGACCATGGCATATGTTCTGTATCAGGCACCCCTGCTTATAAAAAAAACTAGAGCTGATGTGGTACATCACAAGTACGTTTGGTGGAGACGAGGGACAGGGGCCTTCTCGGTGGTGGCTCCATGGCTGTGGAACACCCTCACTATAGATATTAGATCGGCCACCTCCCTTTTAACATTCCGGAAAAAAGTCAAGATGTGGCTTTTTGAACAAGCGTTTGCAAATGCAGAGTAACTAACACAGGAAAATGGAACGACTAGGCAATGAGTGCAGACAACTTTTTTTAACAAGGAGACGCTATGAATTAATGTTTTATTGATTTGTTTAGTTTTTATTATATGTTATGTTTTTAATTGTATTTATGACATTGTAAGCATTGAAATTTTCCCTGTTAACCGCCTTGAGTCGCCTATGGGCTGAGAAAGGTGGTATACAAACACAGTAAGTAAATAAATGTGGTTTATCCAATGCAATTTTCTGAATCAGCACCCCAAACCGAATCTAATATTGACCAAAATGTTTGTAACCCTCTTAGTCCTAATGTTGGAGAGTGGTCCCTGGTCAAAAAAAGATTGGGAACCACTGATTTATAGCCACTGCCTTTCATCTGCAGTTCTGAATCTATTGGTACTACTGCACGTATGAGCAGCAGTTCGTGGATGATCCAAGTAACATGTTCTCCCTAAAAAACAGAGGTTGCCGTTTGGTGTCCCTCCAACTCCAGTCTAGCTTCTGCTTTGTTTACACACTGGGATTTTTTAAAGATAAAAAACAAACAAACAAACACAGGCAACTTCCTCCCGCCCCCTCCTCCCCTAGAATGGCCTTGGTCCAATTCAGCCCTATCATTTTCTTTGTGTACAGAAGCACTTTGGAAACTTGGTGCATTCTTTCCTTTTAAGACAATATGAAGTATTTTGTTGCATGTATTTACATTTTATTTCCCAGTTTGAATCAAATATTTCCCAGATGGTTGAGTGGAAGCCAATTTTTAAAGACAGTCCTTTTCTTGATTGTTTGCAAGAACAGCTTCCAAGGATCAAATCCAGCCAACTTCCAGCCTTGCTTTCCTGCATCTCCTGCAACTCCTCTGGAATAATTTCATCCTTGACTACATTGTAAAGACAGCAAGGATATTTTTGCTTTATGAAAACTGAGGCAGAGTTGCCCCCTGAATTCACTGGAAAAGAGGTCAACCTAGCCCTTTACTGGAGAAACCTTCCTTAAAATTTGAGGTTTTTTATTTATTTTCTGCATGATAAAAAGGCATGATTTGACCACATTTGACCCACAAACCTCTTGAGAGAGAGGAGTGCCTAATTTGCAAACATAATGTATGCAGAAGAATAGTCCAAGATAATCTTTCTGCAGCCAAAGAAATGGATAGGGTATCGGACATAGAGTTCAACTTGCTTTGATTGAAAATAAACAAGGAAAGGGAGCAGAAAAAGGATTTTGCCTTCTGCCTTCTTTATCTGGACCACAATTAATTAAAGTATAGTTTAGCAAAACTGGTGGATCTTTTGCAGAGTGTGGCATTTCTGTGGCAAAAGTGCAGAGTGTGGCATTTGCAATTGATAAAAAATGACACAAGTTGTCTTCCAGTCCAAGAGATAGGTGGTGTTAAGACACAGAGCCTATATTTCCAGATGTCATCTCTTGTTTCCAATGTTTTTTGATCAGATTGCAATTGCCAATACATCAAACAGGCAGTGGTGGGGTTTTTTTTTTTCTAATTTTCTCAGACTGAAGATGTATGGGTCAGTTGTTATTCTGTCTGATATCCTGGACATATAAACTCAATGATATAAATTGAATGAATGAAATTTATTACAAACAGCAGATCAGACAAGATATAAATTGTATTCTATGACTTGCAAGGGGTATTTCCTTTGATGCCATAGCCATAGCATTGTTTAACAGAACAGATAAATTAAGGGAGGTTAAGTTATTTTAGGCCCCTTCTACAGTGCCATATAATCCAGATTAGATTATGTTACCTATTGATCTACTCACATTTGCATGGTTTTGAGCTACTAGGTTGGCAGAAGCTGGGGCTAATAATGGGAGCTCACACCGCTCCTTGGATTCGAACCTGCAACCTTTCAGTCAACAAGTTCAGCAGCTCAGCACTTTAACCCACTGCGCCACTGCCCCCCCTCCATAATCCAGATTACAAAACAGAAAATCCACATTATCTGCCTTGAATTGGATTATCTGAGTGTAGACTGCCATATAATCCAGTTCAAAGCGGATAATCTGGATTGTATATGGCACTGTAGAAAAGGCCTGTTATGTTCAAACCTTGTTTTGATTCACATGGATGAACGTCCAGTCATTTGTTGTTGTTGTTTATTCATTCAGTCACTTCCAACTCTTCATGACTGCAGGGACCAGCCCACGCCAGAGTTCCCTGTTGGCCGTGGCCACTCCCAGCTCCTTCAAAGTCAAGCCAGTCACTTCAAAGATACCATCCATCCATCTTGCCCTTTGTCGGCCCCTCTTCCTTTTTCCTTCCATTTTCCCAGCATCATTGTCTTCTCCAAGCTTTCCTGTCTTCTCATGATGTGGCCAAAGTACTTCATCTTTGCCTCTAATATCCTTCCCTCCAATGAGCAGCCGGGGTTTATTTCCTGAAGTATGGACTGGTTGGATCTTCTTGCAGTCCAAGGCACTCTCAGAATTTTCCTTCAGCACCACAGTTTATAAGTATGCGATATAGGATAGCACTTATATGCAGTCCCTTCCTAATTGCGACAAGCTTATCTGATCCAAAATAGATCTAAGTAATTTCATTAAAATGGCAAATGGCACCCCCCAAAGCCTTCTATCGGTGAAATTTCCCCTCCCCCCCCCTCTATTTTTGCCATGGTTCTGGGAAGGTTGAGGAGTAATTCTCCAATGGTAGGCTATGGCACAATTGGCCCCAATCCCTACAAAACTGCCTACTCTTCCTTTAACAGATTTATAGAATCCTTCTGAAATCTGAAATCATTTTGGTAAATGCTGGTTGATACTTTCAAAACTGTATATAACGCATAGCACCACCCATGGTACACCCCACTTCCCAGAACCCCTTCAAATCTACCAGATCTGTCCCTATGTTACTGGGATACACTTTTTCCTGGGGTATATTTTCCTGGGGTAAAATATAATGACAGTGGTGTGGTATAGGGATGAAACCTTTGTTCTTCATGTTTCTATAAAGGCTGGGACAAAGAATATGTGAAAATCAAACACCCTCCAATTTGAAGAGAATATTATGTGAGGCTGAAGCATATATATGATTGGAAATTAAGATACGTGATTAAAATTTCCATGCTTTTTGTGCATGTGTACGTATTTTACTGCCTCACCTAGCCTCTTACATCACAGAGAATATTCTCCTCATCTCAGAACCTCCAACAATTTTGGTCTTTGTAAAAGAAATGCCATAAATTTCATGAGTTCTCAGATTGTGTGGAACTGAAGTATGCGGCATTTATGATATACACTAAGAGTTTCAGGGGGCCCTGGTGGTGAAGGGGTTAAATCACTGAGCTACTGAACTTGCTGACCACAAAATTGGCAGTTCGAATCTGGGAAGCAGAGTGAGCTCCCACTGTTAGGCCCAGCTTCAGTCAACCTAGCAGTTTGAAAACTTGCAAAAGTGGGTAGATCAATAGGTACCACTTCTGCTGGAAGGTAATGGTGCTCCATACAGTCATGCTGGCCACATGACCTTGGAGAAGTCTACAGACAACACCAGCTCTTTGATTTAGAAATGGAGATGAGCACCACCCCAAGAGTCAGACACGACTAGACTTAATGTCAAGGGGAAACCTTTACCTTTACTTAATGTCAAGGGGAAACCTTTACCTTTACTAAGAGTTTCAGACATTATGTGAGGATGAAAATCTGGTCCGCAAGCCTCCTTCCTCCTTATTTTATTTTATTTTATTTCTGCTCCTTTTGTGCTGCCACTCCTTCCCTGTTGCTGACCATGGCATATGTTATTTTCTTTTATTTCTGTATGTCTATTTTACAGATTCTGCAATCTATAAAGTAGATGGATTTCAGAATACCATGGGATAAACATAGAAAGAAAATTAAATGTTTATCCTTACTTACTTACTTATTTTACATTTATTCTTAATAGTATATTCAAAAACGTACTTGAGATTGGTGAAAGGCAAAAGCTACGACAGTAGTTTAAAAATGTTTCCAAAATGCCACTCAGTGTTATTGGCACCAATAGTGAACTAAATGAATGCAGCAAAAAAGGTATCAAAATAAACATAGAGCTAATTTTTAGTCAGGACAAAGTCCAAAAACCAGGTAAGATCTTTCTTTTTCAGCTTCTCCCTCTCAGTTTGCCTTGTCTTTTAAACCAAATCCTTTAGCAAATGTTTGTCAGGCCCTACCACGTTATCACACCATGGCTTTAAAGTGGGCGCCGGGCAGTCCCACATTTCTGCCGCCTGCAAAATTCTGGGAAAGCAAAGACCTCTGTCGTTGAGAGTTCAAAAGGCCCCGTCTTAAACTACAATTCCCAGAATTCTGCAGGCAGAAGAATGAAGAGCTGCCCCTTTAAAGCACTCTTATGATTCCATAGTACGTGCACAACCTTGCAACAACTTTGAGACATTCTTTTGGGTGTTTTTTTAAAATATTAATGTAAATTGTCTAAAAGAAATGTCTGCATTTTGATTAGATACAAATGTAATTCCAAATACAAAATTTCATAGCTGCTATAAAAGAACTGGTGATAGCACTCAGTAAAGCAGAAGGCAGTAGACAACAAATAAACAAATCCCTTTATCAAAATCTGCTTAGATTACACTCCTTACTAACTAGCTTTTCCATTCTAACTTTTCTACTGATAAGACAAACTATCTCGATTTGGTGATAAACAGAATTTACAAACCTTGCCATGACCTGATGCTAAAAAAAAAGTCATTCACCCAGTTCTGCTTTTGTAGTGTCACTCATCTTCTGTAAGGCTGGAACCACACCGCCATATAACCCAAGTTTTCAAAGTTAGTAATAATGATTACCATCTTTGAACTAGATTCTATAAGTCTACACTACTATATAATCCAGTTCAAAGAAGATAATCTGGATTGTATATGGCTGTGTAGACGGGGCTTAAGCATCCCATTTGGACTACAGCCCCTAAGCCGCCAATATTGAATCCAGCCATTTTGGACTACAAAGCATTCATGAAAGAAGGATGTGGGAGGTCGAGCAGGTCACAGTAATATAAGAAAAGGGAATGATGGAGTATTGACTAAAACTTGAGGCTGCATTTATTTATTTCCCTTCAACCCAATGCTGAGAAATCCACTCCCCCCTGTTCGTTGAGCATGTTCCCCTTCTCCTACTTCTGCGTGGTCTCCTGATTCAATTTTGGCAGGGCTAATTCCGTGGTTCTCTCTCTCTGATCTACTCATGTCTGCACAGTCCTTGCACTCCCTCAAGCACACAGATGTAGATGCAACTTTCGTGGCCACAAAAACTAAAAGCAGTGTGATCCACAGTAGGCCACAAAAGTGCTTGCAAAAGTAGAGCAGGTTGTCTCTAAGCACCAAGATCCTAAAGTTGGATGGTGCTTGACTTGTAAGATAGGACCAGGCTTTAGCACAGTGGGTTAAACTGCCAGCTGTAGAAAATCTTGCTGATCGAAAGGTTGGCAGTTCAAACCCGGGTTGGGATGAGCTCCCACCATCAGCCCAGCTTCTGCCCACCTAGCAGATCGAAAACAGTAATGTGAGTAGATAAATAGGTACCACTTTTAGCAGGGAAATAATAAAAAGGCACCCGTAAGAATATGCTGGTGATTTGATCAGGAGGATGTCTATGGACAACAAAGCTCCTCCGCATGGAAGATGGAGCGGCAGCACCACCCCATGGCCAGAGTCAAGCACAACCTCCAGATGCCTGAAATGGAAAACATGGGAATGCTTACCTCTGTTTAAGCATTGTCTGTCCTTGTTAATTGTATAACGACATTGAATGTTTGCCGTATATGTGTTCTGTAATCCACCCTGAGTCTCCTCGGGGAGATAGAGTGGAATAGAAATAAAGTATATTATTATTATTATTATTATTATTATTATTAATATTATTATTAATATTATTATTTGAAACACCACAAGATGAGTCCACAGCAGACACTCTGCTGGCTGTTGTATTGGATCACACATCGGACACTTCCCAAGTGTCTAGGACTGTGTGATGTATCAGCGAATAATGCATGCAGATCCCAGTAAGGTTGCCTTTTGCAGCTGGCAGATGGTAATCTTTCCAGCGCTGATTGTATTTAAGTGCAGGCCAAGGTCTTTAGGCACTGCACCCAGTGTGCCAATCACCACTGGGACCACCCTGACTGGCTTGTGCCAGAGTCTTTGCCGTTCGATCTTTAAATCCTCATATAGTGTCAGCTTTTCCAGTTGTTTCTCTTCAATCCTGCTGTCACCTGGGATTGCAACATCGACGACCCATACTTTGTTTTTTAACACAATCGTGAAGTCAGGAGTATTGTGCTTCAAAACTCTGTCTGACTGAATCCGGAAGTCCCAGAGGAGTTTGGCATGTTCATTCTCTGTACCGTTTTCCGGCTTGTGATCCCACCAGTTCTTTGTTGCAGGCAGATGATATTTGTGGCACAAGTTCCAATGAATCACCTGAGCAACGGTGTTGTGCCTCTGCTTGTAGTTTGTCTGTGCAATCTTCTTGCAGCAGCTGAGGATGTGATCTATTGTTTCATCTGCTTCCTTGGAGAGTCTACATTTGGGATCTGTTGTTGACTTTTCAATTCTGGCTTTGATGGCATTGGTTCTAATGACTTATTCTTAGGCTGCCAGAATCAGGCCCTCTGTCTCCTTTTTCAAAGTCCCATTTGTGAGCCACAGCCATGGTATTATTATTATTATTATTATTATTATTATTATTATTATTATTATTATTATTATTATATGTGCATGAAGGTCATTTCTCACTGGAGCCAAAAAGACCTCAGAGATGGTAAACAATCTGCCTTTAATTTTAAAAAGCCATATGCACTTTCTCCTCCATATGAATCACCAATCCAGACAGTAGTTTCTGTTACTGAAATATCACAAACTAAAACATTTATAAGTTCATGAAAAATTGAATGTGATGTCAATTTTAAACTGGGGGAGTTGTGGATTGGCTGGAGAGAGAGGTGGTGTGCACAACATGAAGGGTACCTTCTTGGCTGAAAAACAAAAAAGATAATACTCTAGAATGGTAGATAGCTGACTGCACAAACCATACTTGTGGTTCAGGTAATTACAGACTTGCAAGTTGAAGTCCTTGTGGTTAGATAACATCTTGTAACATCTGGGCAGCCAACTCTGATTTGAAGGAGACTAAACAAAAAGCACAACTCCTTACTTAGTGCCGAATCTAAATACATCTCCCTGCTTTACATATTTAAATGCCAGATCTAGATCTTCTTTCCAACACTGGTTAAAAGGCAACAGAGCGATGATGAAATGAGCACAGAAAAAAGCAGCTCACATATTCACCACTAACAATAAAAGTTATAGTAAAGAAACTCTTACCAGTTGTGGACTGGGCAGATGTGATTGTTGTAGAGTGCCATGCCGTATCTGTGGGAATTAAAAGACAAATGTGGTTACATTTGGTCCTCTCAAACACCCAAGTCGTGTCTCCCAGTTTGCTGCATCACATAAATCAAGCCACCATTAACAGAATACAGTAGAGAGGAAATCTTGCTTAAATTTCTACTCATAGATTCATGGGTTTGTTTGGGGGGTTTTTTGTGTCAGGAGTGACTTGAGAAACTGCAAGCCACTTCTGTTGTGAGAGAATTGGCTGTCTGCAAGGACATTGCTCAGGGGATGCCTGCCAGATATTTTACCATCATGTGGAAGGCTTCACTCATGTCCCCACATGAGAAGCTGAAGCTGATAGATGGGAGCGCACCCCACTCCCTGGATTCAAACTGCCGACCTTTCGGCCAGCAGTCCTGCCGGCACAAGGGTTTAACCCATTGTGCCACCAGGGACTCATGGTATAACCTGTAGCAAATCATGTTCTTTGCCCACCTTGTCAATGGGTAAGTAGGCAGGCAAAGCGGAATTCAGCTATTCCGCACAATACACTACTGACTGCTATTTCTGCTATTTCTGACTGCTATTATATTCATTCATAATATTTCCATCTGTCAACAACCAGATCCTATGCCATCCAGGAGTAGGACACCATCTAAAGTAGATAGGGAACTCTTCCTACATCCTATGTAAAAAATGCCAAACAACATGGATTTTCTCCTTAAGTGTGTGTTTCTTTTTGTGATTTGTTGCTAATGGCACTGGCTCATTGCTAACTAGCAAGTCTTAAGTGAGTCGCAATTCTTCCAGTTGGAGAAGAGGACTTATACATGTGAAAAATGAGCAGATTGCTGTACAGCATATAGCTACTCCACTGCACTGCTACTTGCTGGCAGTTCACAAGTCCGCTTTTCTGCTCTGAAGATGCTATAATTTTTATCTTATCTCCTTCAACTGTAATATGAAGATTATGCCTCTGGAATAAAGGGCATAATCTTACATTCCACGTGCCACAATTTCCCCTTTCTATAGAATTTAGACTATTTGAAATACATTATTTTTAAATTGTTGCTTTGCTACTTGCACCTGAGATAGTTTTCCTTAAGTCAGGACGAAAAGACTGCAATAAATAAAATAAAATAAAAGGAATGTGGGTGTTGTCTTTGCACTACTGAGTACCAGCCAGCGTGGATTCAATTCCAAGATCGCTAAAGTGGGAATTGCACAACTACATGCATAGCAGACCAGACAGCCAAGAGCTGTATTTCAGCAGGGCCAGACAGACACTCCCTAACTAAGAACGTTCATCTCATGTGGTCGAAGGCTTTCATGGCCGGAATCACGGGGTCGCTGTGAGTTTTCCGGACTGTATGGCCATGTTCCAGAAGCATTCTCTCCTGACGTTTCGCCCACATCTATGGCATGCATCATCATAACCTCTGAAGATGCCTGCCATAGATGTGGGTGAAACGTCAGAAGAGAATGCTTCTAGAACAGGGCCATACAGCCCGGAAAACACACAGCAACTCAACAGTCATCTCCATTCACAACTCCACTGCAGGCACACAAAAAAATGTCCAATTATTGGGTAGGTACTCCTTGCTGTAGACCAGTGGTTCCAATGTGTGGTCCTCCAGTTGTTTTGGACTTGAACTCCTAGAAATCCCAGCCAGTTGACCAGCTGCTAGGAATTGTGGGAGCTGAAGTCCAAAACACCTGGAGGACCAAAGGTTGGGAACCATTGCTATAGACATTAACCAGACTTATTTCATTCTTTCACATATTGCATATTGCTTTTTTTAGTTTCTGGAATCTGGCGTGAACTTTGGTTGAAGGGCAAGACAAAATGTTTTATTTAAAGTATGTATAAATAATTAAGTGGGAGTGACATATTTTCTACAGTTCTGTAAATAGCTTCCACATGTTGTGTTAGCACAGAAGACTCCTAGAAATCAAGAGCTGGTCTGCCTCTAACTGCAAGTTGCTCCAACCACTAAAACCACCATCCCATGGTGGAAATGTGTATCTTTCCTGCCACAACCTACACCCTTCAGAAAAGTCAATAAAACCTTACTGTTGCTGCAGCTTTAACAGCTGTCAAATGTCTGGTTGTCTGTGCTTTCAAAACAAAGTCCACATATAGCTGTCCATCTGTCTGTCTGTCTGCCTATCTACCTTGCACAAATGCAAGTTTTCCATAGGGACAACTTTTAGCGTGCACATTTCCAAATCTTGGATCTTTAATATATATTCAGCCATGTGCAACACTGTAATAACATCATTCAAATTTTATTATTTATGATGACTCATTGGAAAATACTATCTCGTCATCATGACTCACTGGAGAAGACAGTAATTCCCAGTAAAATGGAAGGCATCAGAGAAAGAAGGAAAGTGTCCTGCAGATGGATGGATTCAATCAAGGAAGCCACAGCCCTGAGTCTGCAGGATCTGAATAGGGCTGCTGATGGCAGGTTATCAAGGAGTTATGACCGGAAGTCAAAGATGACATCATACATGATGTCATCAAACATCAACAGCATCGGTGCATACTTTATTTTTAAAAAGTCTCATATCTTTGTTATACAGACAATGAATATCTGTAAGATTGTATTCCTGCAAAATCAGATGGATTTGGTACTTTTTGGAAGCAAACCCCACATCTATATATTTTAATCGCATTTGACTCCAGTGGGACAGTCATACATGGATCCCTCTCTTTCCTGCCATTTGCTGGCAAGTATGTAAACATTAGAAGTTCGTTTGAACATCTATGGTAACTCTGCAGCAAAGCATGTTAATTCTTGAATACAGTTCACACATAACATCACTGACCCATACTTTCTGGAGATTTTAGATTTGACCTTCCTGTGCCCCTTTCAATAAGGCAACACAAAGCTAGCTCATAATTGGCTTTTTGTTCAAAATGGTCAGCTTACTCAATTCTTAAACATGGGATTTAAATGGGATAACTGTGCAAGCCCAAAATAATAAGGCATTTGACTTAGCTATGACTGAACAATTAATTAATAATCTACAAATGGCTAAAGAAAATAAAGAAAAACATATTTTGATGATTTAGAACTGCTATCATAGAGGGGCCTCTGAGGTGGGTTAAACCACTGAGTTGTTTGACTGCTGAACTTGCTGACTGAAAGTCTGGCAGTTCGAATCCGGGGAGTGGGGTGAGCTCCTGCTGTTAGCCCCAGCTTCTTCCAATCTAGTAGTTCGAAAACATGCAAATGTGAGTAGATCAATAGGTACTGCTTCTGTGGGAAGGTAATAGCGCTCCATGCAGTCATGCTGGCCACATGACCTCGGAGGTGTCTATGGACAATGCCAGCTCTTCCGTTTAGAAATGGAGATGAGCACCAGCCCCCAGAGTCAGACACAACTAGACTTAATGTCAGGGGAAACCTTTACCTTTACCTATCATGGAGGGGATAAAAAAGGTAATGCTGGACTTCCAAAGTCATTGAACTTTTTGTGTTGATTTTGTGAGGAAACACTGATGACATTTTACATTTATTATGGCTGTATATTTTAACATAATATTATTCCATCAAATTTCAGTTATATTCACAGGGTGTCTGAGCTACAGGATTGCTCCATTCAAATCTTTTTCTATAATAAAATGATTTTAAATTATATTTAAATATGATTACATGAATTTGAATATGAAAATGCCAAATCCTACACATAAGTTCTTAAAATTTAATACATAACCCTATTGTTCAATCTTCCTTTATGAAGACACATTCAAATTGTAGTCAAGTATTATAAATGCTATTCTAAACCACACATATTTAATTTTAAACTTACTAATGCCCTGAAAGATCTTTCCAGTGACTTCAAAGATAACTACCTGAAGCCTAACCCTGCCAAGACACGTGTATGCTTTCCATCTACATATCCATGAAGCCAACAGGAAATTGAAAGTTACCTGGGAAAGCCAAGAGCTCGAACACTGTTCCCATCCTAAATATCTCGGTGTCACCTTAGATCGATCACTAACATTTAGGAAACACTGTATGAACACCAAGCACAAAGTCATTGCAAGCAATAACATCCTGCGGAAACTTACTGACAGTACATGGGGTCTTGTCTTACTCAACTGCAGAGTATGCCTGACCTGTTTGACACAAGTCTGTTCACGCGAAGCAGGTGAATATAACACTGAACAAAATATGCAGAATAATCACAGGATGCCTCAAAGTTACACCTGTTGATAGACTCTATAAGGTAGCTGGCATTGCGCCCCCTGAAGTGTGATGGGAAGTTGCTGCTGACTGCGAGAGAAATAACGTTGGACACTGTGAAAGCCATCCACTACATAGCTATCAACCTCCACCCAGTAGACTTAAATTAAGGAAAAGCTTCATGAGAACCACCACTCCTCTTAATGTTCCCCCAGCAACAACAAGAGTATCCCTCTGGGCAGCTAAACCAGGAAATCCCAAATGGATGACCCCCCCTTCCATTAGGAGGGTCTTCCTCCAGGGGCAAACCAAGAATGGACGACTTGGAAGTCTCTGAACAGACCAAGGGCGCATCCAGACAGCCCCTTTAAAGTGGGAGTTCCCACACTTTAAAGTGGGCTGTCCAGATGACGTCCCATAGAAAAACGAATTCATTCACCACAAACCAAAAAATCCCTGGTTTGTCGCAAATGAATTTGTTAGTGAATTTACTCCGCACCTTCTTGGAAGGCGCGGGACAAACCCACTACTTCCGTTGTCTGAACTGCTCCCTCTAAAGTTCTAGACTTTTGAGGGGGCAGTCTAGACTGTAGTCCCATGTTCTTCCAGACTAAATTAGCCCAGAAAATGGTGAGGACACTAATCCCTTCCTCCCAAAACCCCTTTTAAAAATAAAATAACTTACCTGGCCTCCATTAGCATGGTGCCATTGCTCTCCTGGCACGTAGGAATGACACGTCAGGAGAAAGGGGAGGAGGAAAATTGCTCCTGCTCCCCCCCTTTCTCCTGACGCGTCATTCCCATGTGCCAGGAGAGTTCCAGCACCACGCTAATGGA